ATGATATGAAACAAGATATAACAGATATTGAAATAGAAGTTTCTCAGAGTTCTTCAGTTTCACTCATTTTATTTACTATTTTTATCAAATCTTTGTTTATTGACAGATAAATAACAATTATAATTAGAATCTCAAGCTATATAGATGATTTGAGTCTGATTGTAAGCTCAGAATCAATTGTAAATAATTATAATTTAATTAAATAAGTGACAACTGAAATGATTGAAAAAGTAAAATCAAAAAATATTATTTTTGATATGAATAAAACTGAGTTAATTCACTTCTATCTCAACTTCAGAGAAAAGAATTGTGAAGTTAAACTTTTAAATTATTCAGTTAAATCTAAGAATTCAATTAGATGATTTAATATCTGACTAGATTCTCAGTTAAATTTTAAATCTCATATTCAAATGAAAACTGCAAGTGCTGAGAGAATCTTAAACAGTATTATAAAACTCTCTAATACTGAGAAAGACTTATCTTTTCAAGTAATAAAATAGTTATATATTACTTATATAACCTCTGTTTCAGATTTTGCAGTATAAGTTTGATGAAAAAATCAAAAGTATTTTATAGAAAGATTTCAAAAGCTTCAAAACTTAGCTTTAAAGAAAATTTTGAGAGTATTTAAAACTTCTTTAGTTAGAGCTATAGAAATTGAAGTCTCTCTATCTTCATCACAAGTGAGATTTGATAAAATCTGTATGAATTATACTCTTAGAATTATAAAGCTATATTCAAATTATTTAATTAGAAAAAGAGTCTCAAGTTCATTTTCAAGTGAATCAACTGAATTAGAATTAGATTGAAATCTGTATTTTAATTGAAATGAAATAGATTTAGCTCAAAATTCAAATTCTTTATAAAGAAAAAAATATTATTACAGTTATTTAGAATCTGCTCTATAATCAAAAATAATTTCTCTAATTTAAATATAGAGAAAATTAATTTTGAAAAACTCTCTCTCTAAAAGAAAAGTTTTGATAATTTTATTGATTTAAAAATTAGTCATCTGTTAAAAAAAGATTAAATAAAAGAACATCTTGATCTTTTGAAATAAATGAAGAATAAAGCAGTTTTTATATATACTGATAACTCAAAATATAAGAAAACAGACAATCTTAAAACTGAAATAGTATATTCAGAAAATAATTCAGATTATCTTTTTAATTCTTAGTAGATTGAAAAAAAATCAGAGATTTTTAATACTGAATTATTTGCTATTTTAAAAGCTTTCAAATTAATTGAGATGAAGATTAAACAGTGGAAAAGATTTGAGTATATTTGAATATTCTCTGATAGTCAAGCAGAGTTTAAAAAACTTCAAAGTAATAAAATCAGCAGTAGACAGTTAATATTGAAACTGATTTTAAAAAATTTTCAAAATATTCAAAAGAAAATCTCTTCAAGCTGTTCAATTCATCTTCATTGAGTTTCTGTTTATATAAATATATATAATAATGAAATAGCTGATAAAGCTGTAAAAAAAGTCATTGAATTAGAGATCTACTTTCAGAAAATTATTTTATGATTCTTTATTAAAAGAAAGATTAGAGAATTATATTTGTAAAAATGATAAGATATCTGATTTCTACAAAGAAAAAATATACACTACTTTAGATTTGAAATTAAATCTAAATGAAAGATTTATTCAATAAAATGTAAAAAGAAACTTTTTACTACAATAATACAGCTAAAGCTTGAATATAGATATTTTAAATTATATTTAACAAGATTTAGAGATGATTTAAATAATCTATATTCAAATTATCAGTTATATGAAAATTCTGAGTATCTTCTTTTACTTTGTATAAAGTATACAGAGTTAAGATTAAAATTGAGAGAGAAATTTGAATTTGAATAATTGAATTTAAAGCTTTTATTCAATACAGAAACAGAAAATAAATTCTTGATTAAATATTTAAAAAAATCAAATATTGCTACAAGAGTTCAAATAAATAAGATCTGTTAATAAGAAAATAAATAATTCTTTTACAAGATTTGATTATCTTATTACTGTTTCTTATTTTGATAATTATTTTATTTTCAATTATTTTATTATTGATTTTATTATTGTTTTGTTTTAAAAAATTCTATCTATTAGTGATTGATTTTACAGTTGTTAAAACACTCTTTAAATTTCTTTTATAATAATTATTATTTTTTTTTTATATATATATTGAGTTAATCTGAGTTGATTAATTATTATTTTTAATATTGATTTTTCTGATTGAATATTTTAATTAGTTGTTTGATTCTGAGCTGAAATTCTATTACTGTATATATCAAATTGCTTTTGTATATTAGAAAATTCTTGATTTGAAAAATTCTGAAATATTTCAGATAGATGTCATAGTCACTGACTGTATACATCTATAAATGAAGAATAATAATAATAATAATTGAAATTACTATAAACAGTTGAGATTCTATTATAATAGATATAAGTCTATTCTTTCTTCTATATAATTATAATTTAGAAATTTTGAACTTTTCTAAGATTTTCTGAGAGATTATATATATCTGCAGTTCTATATAAATGATAAAGAATATAATCAATAAATTTAAAAAAGTCTGTAAATAAGCTGAAGCTTTGATAGTTAGTATTCAATAGAATTATAAAAATTAAATAAATATCAAAAGAAATTTTATAATCTAATATAATATAGAAGATAAAATTTAACTAGATCTCAGAAATATAAAAACAGACTGTCTTTTATATATACTTAGACTGGCTGTGTGATCATGCATGGGACTGGGACCAAATTTTTCCTCAGTTTTATTATCAGATATCTTAGTTCTGATCTCATATAGTGTTTAGCAAATTAGTCACTTTACACTGTTTATATTATAAATCTAGTCTCAGATCATGTTTTACTAATAAATTAGTGATTCTGGTTCCATTTGGTTTCATTTTACAAAATGGGACCAAATGGGACCATGATTTACCCTATATAGATTGGCAGTGATAGATAGGTTGACAGTGGTAGATAGGTTGGCAGTGGTAGGTAGATTGACAGTGATAGATTAGCAGTGATAGATTAGCAGTGATAGATTAGCAGTGATAGATAGATTGGCAGCAGTAGGTAGATTGGCAGTGGTAGATAGGTTGGCAGCAGTGGGTAGATTGGCAGTGGTGGGTAGGTTGACAGCAGCACTAAGCAAGATAGAGGTAATATCTCCACCAATCATATCATCAGATTGATGTATTATATAATCATCAGAATGGGACCAAACTTGAGTCAAAATCATGATCAGTTCCAGATCATGTTCTGATTTTGATAGTCAGTCACTTTACATGAAATATCAAGATTTTTTAGTCTCATTTCACTCATGTTTTGATAATTCTAGTCACTTTACACTTTCATTCTGGTCCTGATCCCACTAAAATCATGCCAAGAAATGGACTGAGATCAAATCAAACCAAATCAAATGTGTAATTCATGGTCCTGGCGGCCAGTCTATATATACTAAACTACTATTATATTAAATATATAGTAATAGAAATATTAGATATTTATAACTATCAACTGAATACTCTATCTGATATTCACAATATTTTTCATATAAATCTGCTCTGATTTATAGCTGAGAATCTGTTTTTTTTATAAAAGATTTCTGACTGATAATTATCTGTTATTATAAAAGAAGATAATAAATTTGAATAAGAAATTGAAATAATTCTCAGTAACAGAATCAATCATTACTATTGTGAATATTTTATTAAATAAATAGAATATAATTATTTAATCTGAGAATTTATATTTATTATAAAGAACACTGCTGTATTCAATATCTATAAATTCTTACTTATCTTAATAAAGAAGAATAATATAATGAATTAGTATTTGTTGATAGTTAACTTATACAATTAATTCTCTACTATACACTTATATACTTATATATATTTATAAAATTCTCTTATATCTTCTTACAATTTCATTTTATAATTATATATATTTTAATATTCTAATAATTCTTTTATTTTATATTTCTTCAGAGTACAATCTCTGATATTTCTTCTGTTCTGATTTCTCTATTTATAAGAACTTTCTTATATAATCTCTTTCTCTAATCTTCTTTCTCTTTCTTTTCTTAATTGATTTATAAACTGTTATCAGAATAGTATCAAGTCTGTAGATAGTGCTGTTGAAATGAATTATACAAACTGTGCAGATAATATAAATGATTTAATCTGCAACAATGATAACATCTGTTTAATCAGTGACATATCTGTTACACTAGATTATTTAGAGAATGTAGTGATTATTGAGGGAATTTATTTTCAAATAATAAAAGATATTGATTGAACTGTGTCTGATGTTAAATATCTTGAGATTTAAAAAACACAGTATCTTTGATTAATGATTGTAATATAATGAGAAGAGATAGCAAATTGCAAAATAGCAGAGATGATAGTGAGATGACTAAGAATTCAAAAAATATTGATTTGATAATAATTAGACAGATATTTAAGATAGATGTATAATTCTGAAGTCAACTGAATATTTTGTATAAGCAGATTTGATTTTTTATAGATGATGAAACTGTTTCTTCTCAGACTCTCTATAAGATATTATATTATGAGTATATATAAAGTAATTGATTGATTCAGAAGTTAGCAGAACTTGGCAGAAGTCTAAAGGAGTTTAGTTGATCACACTAATCTGAAAATATCAAGAAGAGAGGCTGAGCATGCTGAGATAACCTACATTCATGAGTAGCTGTAAGGATGTCAATTTTGGTGGTGATTCATCAGCCTGTGCATTTGTTGTGTCATCTTGAGAATTAAAACAAAACAAGTTCCTTGCTGAGAAGCTTCCCTTTGCCAACTCTCTTTTCTTTGTACACAACGTTCGCTATTGTGTGTCGTTTGTTTTTGACGTTGTTTCTACACTGCATGGAACTCCGGACTCGATCTACCACTAGTTTCCATTCGTCCAGAGCAATGCCATTGCTTCATAAGCCCGCCTCCCAACCTAAGTGCTCCAATTTTCCCGATGGATGATCCGGTTGATAGCCTCAAGAATGTTCGTGGTAATGCAACTATCGCGTATCCTACCCTTCACCGGTAAAATTTTGCTAACATCTATCTGATATGCCTTCTTGTGATAGGGCTTAGAAAATGAATACTGCCCTCCGCTGGATCCCGCACTTTTCGTGGCTATAGCAAGCGATTATAACCTTCTCGACGACGGTAGCGTTCGGCAACTGCGCGACACTCTAGATGCGCTGAAGGCTTCAGCTGATGAGCAAGAAAATGCTACATTCGACCCTTCTGGCACAAGCGGCCGGGATTTTGTAGCGGGGGATCATGACGAGTTCGCGTCAGAGGAAGATGGATCACATCCAACAAAAAACTCTTTGACGTCGACTCTTACGACTATCGAATCTGATTTCTCTACGTTCAGTTTGGAGGAGAACCTGGAGCCCACTCGTTCTGGTGAACCCTGGAGTGGAAACCATACTGATTCCCCCCTGTCCTCTACCCGTGTTTCGCAAATTACAGGATTGACTTTCGAGGGTAAGAGGACGTATTTAATGGATATGTTTCCGTCAATTGACCAATACACGATTGTCCATACTTTGAGAAAATGCGGCGAGGATATTGACCGCTCGATGGATGTTTTGCTCAACCTGGCGTTTTTTGAAGACCAAAGCGCTGATGATCAGGAAGACAAAGTGTCAATACCGAAGGAGTAGATGGGTTCGAAGGCGATATCCACTCAAGAGAACGTAAGTGGGCGAAAAGTAAGCGGTCTGTAAAAAGGCAAGGATCGCTTCCTCAGTCGATTGCATCATCTGCAGTAACACAACATGAAATCAATAAGGTGGAAAATGTATGGGAGAATAGCAGAAGAGATGTCAACTTTATCTGTTCCAGAACGTACCTCTCGCCCAAGTTCGTTACTTCTGCCTACCATACAAACGGAGCATCCCTCCCAAACACATTGCACTCCCTTGCGTCTGCGGAGGCGGAGCGACACGCAAATTCCATGATGGATAAGTCAGTCACAGTCACGCAAATAGCAGAACTGAAGCAGGAGTTCCATAAACTTTCCTCCGAGAAGCTTGCCGGATTGCTTCGACTAGCCAGGAACTCAACCTCAGCAGCCAGTGAGCTTGCAACCGTGATGACAACCGCTGCACCACGCGCACCTCCGACAGAAATCGTCCAAATACAACAAGCACCTGTGGATCTCAGTGAATTTCCAACTCAGACTCAGAATTCCCGGCCATGGACACGAGAGCCGCCCCGCGACCACCTCACCAGCAGAGCGATAGCAGATTCGCACATCATCGCAGCCCACAGCGCTTTTGCCAAGGCCAATTCAGCCTATCGCCGCGTCAAATCAGATCGCCTCATGGGTGGTGCCGCTGGGTACTACTCCGCGGTGGGTCGTGAACATGTGGAAAAAGCCAAAAGGGAAGCCGCAGCTGCGGCAGAGGCACTCGTAGAGTTGCAGTCCAACAGCACGTTGCTGGACCTGCACGGCGTTAGCGTACAACATGCAGTTGACATCGCGAAGAAGAAGGTTGATGCCTGGTGGTATTCACTTGGTGATACCAAATATGCTCCCGGCGGCTGGGGTCCCGTGCAGCAGGGCTATCGCATCATCACGGGCCTCGGTCGCCATTCAAAGAATGGCACTGCGAGACTGGGTCCAGCGGTTGCGCGGGCTTTGGCTAATGAAGGATGGAAGGTCGAGGTTGGCGAGGGATCCTTGACGATTACGGGAATGGCTAAACGTCGATGAGGGTGGTTTCGGTTTTGGGTTGGCGTTTGGAGCTTTTTGTTTCCGAGTGGTGTTGTTTCTCGCTGCGTTAGTTAGTAGGTAGATTAAGCAGGAAACCACCTATGTATCCATATCATAAGGGGACTTGATCTCCATTGGTATGCATGCATATGAGTCTAGCGATGGTTCTAGAAAGTAAATTATTCAATGTTCCGTCACTAAGTACTTACTCTATATAACTTATGATTACAGATCCTGGTACTTATGTACCCATATATATGTATGGTAAACTTTTTTTTTTGTTTGTTGTTTCCAAAAGATTTGCTCCCGCGATGACGGATGGGTAAAAATAGATGTGAGGTTATAAATATGTGGAATCATCCATGGATGAAGTTGAAAAAACAAGGTTGGCAGCTTCAATACAAATCCTTCCTTCATCCCCGCCAACAGCACCCTGGAGAACTCCATGAATACTCCTTCCTGCGCACGCTTCTCTACTCATCTTGCCCGCTCCCATTTCCATAAACATCGTCTCCATATATCTCCTTTATCCCGACAACTCGTCTCTCCTCGAACTTCATCCCATTTTGGGCTTCCCCGCTTTTCGCGACGACCCCGTCCGTTGCTCCTCGGTCGCGAAGCCCTCCGACTCAGCTGGATGCCAACGATCCCTTTCCTCACTGTATTTAGTTCATCAAAAAAGAAGATGGCGGACCAAAAAGAGTTTCCAGATCAACGGACGAATGAAGAATGGAGAGCAGTGTTAACTAAGGGTGAGTAAACAACCTAACCCTAATACTACCTATATACAATTCCTGGTCCCTCCCCCGAACGGAAAATATCCTGCATTTCCGCTATATATATACTTGATGTATATCTGTGTGTGTATTTATATTACTTAACCGCGCTGACCCTATTTCGTCCCCACTGAGTAGAACAATTCCACATCCTCCGTAACAAAGGCACCGAACCCGCTGGGAGCGGTGAATACAACAAACACTCCCCTGCATCAGGCGTCTACGAGTGCGCCGGCTGCGGCGCCCCGCTTTACAAGGCCTCCCACAAATTCTCGTCCGGTTGCGGTTGGCCGGCATACTTTGACTCGATCCCTGGTGCCGTGACGCGCAAGGAGGATCGGTCCTTTGGCATGAGCCGCACGGAGATTATGTGTTCGAACTGTGGGGGGCATTTGGGACATGTTTTCAAGGGCGAAGGATATCCGACGCCCACAGATGAAAGGCATTGTGTTAATAGCATTAGTTTGAGGTTTACGGAGAGTGAGGCGAAGGCGAGGGCGAAGGAAGTTGAGGTGGAGGGGGGAAGTAAATAAGTTGGTAATTTGGACGATTTATGATTTATGAAATGTACTCGTCTTTGAGTGTGAGATTACATTTGGAGTAGAGGACCATCGTGGTAGCGTTTGTTTGAGTCGTTTATTTAACCATTTGAAAATGGACATTGGAAAGGAAGTAAATACATGAATGTTCATGGTTGCACTCTGCTGTTGTTGATGGGAATCCTTTCTTTCCCCTTTCCTAATTCCTTCACTGTCCTTTTTGATATAATGGACGATCTCTATAATGCATTGAATTTCGAGGTAACAGGTTCTACACAACGGCAGCTGCGTACCTCCACCTGACAACCAGGAAGTCTTGGATAGAACTTGCACACCTGGTCTCTATAGTTACCGGACCCAATGTTTAGTCATTGGTGAATCACCAGCCAGATTCCAAATCCAAAAACCAGATATCAACGTTTGATCGGATTAGTTGGGCAGTTAGACAGCGGCCTAACTTCCCATCTCCACCGACCCGACCTTCGTTGTCCGAACTCCCTACATGTGCAATCATTACGCTGGGTTTAGGACCTTGTACATTCTACCATCGGTTAACTACGCTTCTGTCTCGACACTGCTAGTTGAGCCATGGCCTCTCGACGAACGGCGAACCCGGCTGCGGAGCGGGCAGCAAAGAACCAACTGGTTATCAAAAATTTGCTGAAATTGGAATGCAATAAGATTTGCGCCGATTGCAAGCGGAATAAACGTATGTTCTTTGGGCTTCTGATACCACTCTCCGTCGCCAATTTTGCTTGGACAATCGAGTCCATTGTTGTGCACCCCGCATGCCTAAGTCTTCGACAGGCATGCGTTTAGAGTGTTGACCCGGTAGAAATAACTAACATTACTCCTGTGGTGTGAACAGACCCGAGATGGGCCAGCTGGAATATTGGCGTTTTCATTTGCATTCGCTGCTCCGGCATCCATAGGGGTATGGGTACGCATATCAGCCGAGTAAAATCAGTCGATCTTGACACTTGGACGGATGAACAACTACAGAGTGTGCTTAAATGGGGAAATGCAAGAGCTAACAAGTTCGTTATCCTGTACCCATTCCGTTGCAAGCGGGATCACAAAGCCACGAGTGCGCATGTATTAACGGGTATATCGATCTCTAGGTACTGGGAAGCAAAGCTTGCTACCGGGCATGTCCCTTCAGAGTCGTATGTATTGCCATCCCAATCGGACTCTTACACTGTAGGGACGGTATTCTGATCCGACCCGCAGGAAAATGGAGAATTTCATCCGAACCAAGTATGAATCAAAACGGTGGGTGATGGACGGGCCCATGCCTGATCCATCAACGCTCGATGTTGATGAAGGTGACGATAATATGGTTAGCCTCCCCAATTCAGGGTTGTTTAATCTTAACAACCCTTCTTTTGCTTACCAGTTTCTCACAGCCGTTGGCCATCGTCCAGGAGAAAGCCAAGCTAGAACGATCTACGTCCCATCGCGCTGCATCAACAGTGAGCCAGCCTGCGTCGCGTCGACCAGGACAGTCAATCAATCTTTTCGACGACGAATCCCCGACTCCCCCTGAGAGACCTAATACCACAGACTTACCAGGTGTCCGTCCTCCAACAACGAATTCCTCCATGCCTTCTGCAACTGCAGCTCCTAAGCCAAATAAACCGGCCGATTCATTACTTGGCTTGGATTTCTTTGGCTCTGCTCAACCAGCGGCAAACCGTTCATCGGGCACTACGTCATCCAATGTAGGCTCCACTGGCCCTTCGAGACCTGACCTTAAACAATCTATTCTATCTTTATACGCATCAGCGCCCAAGCCGCAAGCCCCGGCCCAGCACGAACGCAATACTTCATTTAGATCATTTTCTCCCCAACCACAGCAACAAGGCAGGTCACAGTCAGATGCGTTTGGTGAACTTACGGATGCTTTTAGTGGATTGAGCTTTCCGTCAACCACATCTCCTCCCCCCGAGAAACTCGATGCGTTTTCGAACCTCGGATCCTTCAGTCCTCCCAAGTCCCCAAACACAGCACCAAAAATTTCTTCTCCACCACTCAAAGGTAGTGGGTTTTTTGATTCTGTCCCAAACTCACAGAGATCGACCTCTTCCGGGCGAGATTTCAACCCTGTCAGCGCCACTGTAGGATCTACAAAGTCGGCAGCAGCTCCCCCCGCCACTTCAACGAGTTCCTTTGACTTATTCTCATCCATGTCAACCACCACTCCCACGCTACCTCCCTCAGTTCCACCAAAAACAGAAAATACAACTTCTCCCTTCAACCTCTCGGCTTCGTCAAAAGGGCCCGTTCCTACGGCTCCACCCACCAACACTACTAACGTCGGTAACCTGCTCTCAGGCAGCGCTATAGACCCATGGGGCGGCGGTGCTTGGAACAAAACGGAAGCGACTTCCCCCACTAGCAAACAGTCTATTTCGTCCATGATGAAGGTCCCCGAGAAAATCACTGCCAACGACATTGGCTCGGGATGGGGATCGCAATCTCCTACTACGACAAAACCGACGCCGACTGTTGCCGCTGATGAAGATTTCGGCGGATGGACAAGCGCCCCTCCCCCAGGTCCGATTAGTAGTGCCACCTCGAAGCCGAAGCCGACTGGGGGCTTTTCGGGAAGCGATGATTTGTTCTCCAATGTGTGGGAGTGATAGCGACTTTGTCATTTTGATTTTATGCCCTCTCTTGCTAGCCAATGTTTTGATTAGATATCAGTTTCGCACTCAGGCAATTGATTCGCTTATGAATATTTGAGACTCGGTTTGTGCAACTTCTAGCATTCAGTTTTATGATAACTGCCCGTTTCGTAAATTGTGATTCTATTCTCTCATCCTCTTCAATTTTATTTAGTTTGCATGTTGCTCATGCGTCAATCGTATTTATTAACTTTACCGGTTTCGCACAATGCGCATCCCAGTACGTGGATTATTATTTTCAATTCTTATTGGTTCATCATCTTCACAGTTGATACCAGATGATCTAACAGGGTGATTGCTAATCCATGTCGATTAAATCAATAGAGGCCGGTAGAAATTATGAGAATGTTTCGAAAGTAACTACACGTTTCAAGTAGAGCTGGTAATCATATCCTACCGTGCAACGAATAGGTTCTCTGAGACTTAAGGAGAATATTGCCCATGGTAGGTAGGCAGGTAGGATTTATAAACCGACGTGCAAATCGGAAAGATAACAAACAGAAATGGAAGGAGAAAATGGTAAATGCATATTACAAAGTTGAAGAAAAAAAGGAAAAGAAAACCCCGAATCCAAATTCATCGTGTACAAAGTTTCCAAAGAACGGGACATTGACTCCATAAAAAACCGTAACACCAAACAGGATAAGAGAAACATCAGCACGTTCAAACAAGACTGACCTAACAACTGATGCAAACAACCTGAACCAACCTTGTGCCGTCTTCAGGAGGTCATGGGGCGTAAACTACTGCCATGACAAGAATAAACGACGAAAAACCGCAGGAGGGTAAATCAACTTCGGTATATCCGCTCTTCACTCCCCGTCGCGTAGTTCAGAATATCCAGCCCAGAATAATCCATAGCAGGAATCCAACTACAATAACGATCGCCGCAATTTTAAACACTGCAACTCTATCTCCCTGTCTCGCCATTCGTGTTAGGCGACCGGCACTGCCTCTGATATTCGTCGATAGTGACGAGAATACTTCGCTCTGTTATGTGATTAGTTTTGATGTTGGCTGTTAGCCTCTGATCAGGTCACCGATAAGCAGGCAGAGACGGATATACGAACTGTATTATCGATAGTGCTGTGATCCCTGGCATGATCGTAAATATCTATAGAGACCGATTTCAGAGCGTTGGTCTTTTGCGCAAGGGAGTCTAGAAGGGCATTGTTCTGTCTAGTTGTAGTTCGGATGATAAGTTAGCTACCACCCTTCTTTATTTCGATTGAGCATTTCCGACACCTCCCCGCGGCCCCCCTTCCCCCAACTTGCGTATAGCATGGCCTAGGATGTGATGGAGATGAAAAAAAAAAAATGGGTGCAGACATACTGTTCCCGCACATAGGCGTCACTCATCTTGGAGACCGGAGACGAGAACTGTGTATCACTTTGTTCTCGTTTGCCAGGTGGAGCACGAAAGGGCACTTTCCCAGTATTCGATCTCTCCCGTCCGTGAAACGATTGAACCGATGACTATCTTCTATGTATACCGTAAGCTTCTGTCGACGTGGCTCTGTGCCTCACCTGCACGGAGGTTGTGTTGACAATACTTGGGCGCGTGTCGTTTGCACGATGCGAAGTATTTCGTCGAATAACCGATGATATCAAATTATGCAAGCGCCTTATCAGTGTTCATTATACGAAATAATGATATTTTGGAGTTGCTATCTTTTCCAATATAATCTGGCGGGATTCTGTGAGCATGTTCACCTGGATGGATGCATTGAAGTTGGGAATAGTAATTGTCATGTGACGGCAGCACTTGCCTATATTTTCATCAAGAATCTCAACTATCCTTATTAAAAAATTAATTATTCAGCCACAATATGACTAAAATTTCTCAACCAACTGAAGATTGCATTCTAGAGGCTGTAGAAGTGTATAACTGTGATAAAAACCCAGAAAATCAAACCTCTGTTACGAGAATATAAGATCAACTATCAAATCCTTTACAGAAGGGTACAGAGAATCAAATCACAGACTGTGAACATGCCATTCAATTATCTACTGAATTCCGTGTAAGAGAACGCCTTGAGATATGGATTACACAGTTGGGTAAAGCTGGACAGCCTTCCACTGTTGAGATGGTTTGAAAATATGCTCAACACAAGAGAGATCTCAATCAATATCTTACAGCTCACCAACGTCAAACTGAAAAAATATCATGAAGACAGGTTAATATAGAAAAGATGATGACTGTAAAGCATGTAAAAGAACAGATTGCACCGCATAAAGTAGAATACATAGAAATCACTGAATAGATTTCAACAAGAGCTTGCAGCTTCTGCAAAGAAATCAAACACTGAGATTACTCAACAGCAGGAAAGTGCTAATATTTTGGATCATTCCGATGAAGAAGATACTGAGGATGTAGATAATGAGCTTTTTCTTATAGATAGATCTTTGGGACTTTTCCCACATTGACAGTACAAAATAGTAAGAAAATATCATTCCGGTGAAAATATGGGAACTCGCGGGTGGAGCACGGGCATAATTAGTGCCTGAAGGATAGTGCTAGAAGCAATTGGGTGCCTAAAAACTTCGCTTTGCATCCCGACATGCCCGCTCATAGAGAGGTAACGAACGAAGACACACACAGAGAGTTCCCTTGATCTGGAGCATAAGTACAAGGGCCCCTTTCATCTGCATAGAGAAATCTGACCAGCGCGAATTGAGGAATACGCTGTCGTTGGCAGGGTTGGGTACCGCCAACTATTTAGTAATCCTTTGGAGCATCTTTAGCGACAAGCGTCTTGAACTCAACCCCAGCGTTACGCTTTAATATTTCAGGGGGATATGTGGGTGCGATGGATAAACCGTTTGCTAATAAGTTGTTTGGAAGACCTGGTTAGAAAGGTGCGGAAGACATATCGGGATTTTCTCCCGCTCAAGTAATAGATACTGTAAATATGTCTACCGCCTCCCGATAGACCTTATCATTCAACACCGAGGTTCTATGGCAAGGAAAGGAAAGTAAAAGACAGTTGTGTGCCTGTTATCCTGGATACATACACGTAAAATATATAGTTGGGGATGCTATGGGAGAGCGAAAAATAGAAACAAAGAGGGTAAAGAAGAAGGGAAGCTTAGAGAACACCACGAAACCAGCAGCGTCAGATCCCGCACAGAAAGTAGTCGCCGTAGCAAAGTTCACTAGGGAAAGAGAAAACAAAAGTGGGCCATACAAAGAAGAGAAATACAACACCACGCCAAAGAGAAGGATACGAGGCAGCGTCGAGCAAAAATGAGAAGACCAAGGAATGGAAGAGAAAGGAGGGGGGGGGGGGGGGGGGGGGGGGGGGGATTTAAAAAAAAAATGAGACAGAGGGAGGTGGACAAGGGAGAAAACGAAAGAACATAAGAACACACTCCTGCCGCTATGCCATCAATGAGGAAAATTATAATAGAGACCTCGAAAACACAAAGTAATACATGGTAATTGGGTTAAGAAGGAAAATAGTGCGGGAAGAAGAGGGGGAAAAGGGCTTAAGTGTCCAAAATCTAACCAGAACGCGCAAACCCCATGAAGGGTCGTCGTCGGTCTGTACTGGGTGCATGCAAAGTAGCATCTATTTTCACTATAGGGGCATGGTGAATGTGGGGAGTAAATCCGTGCGTGCAAGCTCATTCAATGGATATTGAGAGAGGTATGGGTATAAAAATTCATGTAGCGCAAACTACCAGGCAAGCATGTAATGGGACGATTGACGAAATGGCCTGGAAGATTAAAAATCATTTCCATCATCCGAAAAGACAGTTATTTTTTGTCACCACATGTCATCATCATCGTCAAGTTGTGCCTCGTCACCAAACGAGGATCGCGACGTTCCATATTGCGGCCGCTGGTTCGATCCGTGCGCGGAGCCATTTTGAGAGTGCCCACGTCCTCCAGATGGGGACCATTGCTGATCATCTCGGCCATCGCTATCATAGTTATAATGGGATTCGTTATAGTACGGTCCATTGTTGTAATGATCATGCTCCCGGCTCTAGGAGGGCAAAAATGAAGTTAGAAAACTTCCTAACATCAGGGATAAAAAATGGGTAGGTTGAACATTCAGAAATACTCACTTGATGTCGGTGTTGTTGAGAATGGTCCTCGGACTGTGAATGCTCTCTCTTCCGATGTTGAGCTTGTGGAGCAGAGATACTTAATGTAGGGTGCATCTGTTGTACCTTGGCGAGATATGAATACATGAAATTACTTAGCAGAACTTGCGAATGTAGTGCGCGTTTTGGTTCTGCGAGTTTCCAATGAGCATAGCGGTAGATTTCCCTTTCCTTGGAAATTGGAAACCTAGTCCAGTTGTAATCGATATCGGGTTTGAGCTCCCGCCGTAGCGGCTCGGGTGAAAGTGCCCTCGACGAATGTTTCTTTTGGCTGTGGTCAAGACTTCCCTTCTTCTTGCTACCAAATATAGAAGAGAATAGGCTTGGTTCTTTCTCCTTCTTTGACTCACTACCAGCGGCTCTCTTTGCAGTATCTTTCCTGCGTTCGTCTTCCAATCTAACCTCCGCACGGTCGATAACGATGCTCTCTCTACCTCTTTGAGCTCCGTCGATAGATGCCTGCAAAAGATCTAGGCGGGTGTTGTCGTGCATCTTCTCGGTTATTTTGGGCATTCTTCCCTTAGATTTTTTGGACTCGTCCTCTTTTTTCTTATCCTTATCTTTTTCCTCCGATCCGCGGAGCCAAGTCCAACTTGATTTCCGGCCACCATCTCCATCCTTTTTATCTTTCCCCTTCTTCGAATCCGACCTCCTATTAGAGCTGTCCGTTGAGGTCGGGATGAATGAGAGCGTATCCGTTCGTGTGTTGTTACCGGGAAGCGCTGATGGGTGGGAAGCAATGTCGTCAATTGTCTGGGGACTTTCTTTTGCCGGCCGAATAATTCCGGCTCTTTTGGAGGCCCTGCTTCCAATTGGCTCTGGAGGGAGGGGTACTTGTGGAGGTTGAGAAGGGGGTGGGTCGTGCGAAGATTTCCGTACGGGAATGTGGTTTGGTACGGAGACAGTGATGGTAGCTGGAGATTCTTTCACGACTGCTGGTGGGGGTTGTATGATTTGATGGAGGTTCTGGGATGTCGTGGATGTCTCTAAACTTGAGACGCCGTTAAGGCTTAATGATGGCCGTGTCTGTGAATTCGAGGTCGAATTGCCCGAGGATAAATCATCTGAACTAAATTCTGGTGAAATGGAAAGGTCGCTAGTAGAAAGGTTGGGTTGAGACCGGGTGGTTGACCTTGAAAAGCTCGATGCGTTTCCATGTGTTGGATCCGTCGAAACTCTAGTTAGTCCCAGAATAGGGGGCTCTTCTTCACCTGATTGAGGTGACCGTCGAGTGACAGCTTCAGCGTCAGGGTCGGATTGTCTCAGTGCGCGCTTCGAGTACGGGATCCGATCTCCTGTTTTAAAACTCCCTCTACGATAGGTTGTCCGGGTCGATCTCCGAAGGCTGTGGCCAGGGGGCGCAGCAGGTAATATGGGTCGATCGTCAGCCATTGAATCTTCCCCTCGCCTCTGCCCGATAGAAGCCTCCTCCGATACTGCCTCAAGCTGATCTACTTCATTTTGCCGTTCCGAGCCCGAGGTATCTATTTGTCTTGACAACATGGATTTCTTCCGTCGCAGCCCTCCAGCCGACCCTTGCACTTGTAGTCCGGAATCAGTCATTTTTAGTTCTCCGGACCTCCGCTTTATCTGCTCTGCTTTGCCATTAAGAAAACTCTTGAACTCTTTGGGGGCTAACCCTGGGTGCAGGCGTGCGGGGACCCAAAACAACTGCGATGCATCATCATCAGACTGGCCAGAAGGGGGAATTGGGGGGACACCGAAATTAGAGCCGAACAATGGAAGATCCGGGTCGGCGGCCCCCACATCCATTGACATTCTGCGAAGAGCGGCGAGGTTCGTGAGTTCCTGGGCAACAGCAGCAGCAGGGTTTGAGTCATAGTCTAGGTCGTTGAGTGGAATAGATTTTGAGGTGGCTGTCGAGGGAGAGCGGGTTAGGACGGGTGAGCGTTGGCCTGTAACATCTCGATCACTTGAGCCCGGCTCCGTCGTCGACTGGCGACCAGGGCCATTTGTAGTCGACCTGTCGATTGAACTGGTCCTGATAGGAAGCGAGCGTTGGTTATTGTTCGAATCTGACGGCTGTGGGGGATTTTCGCGATGCGGGGAGGTAACAGAAAGAGTTTCGGCCATGGAGGAGGGGTTGTAGCTTAGTCGCTTCGAATCCCTTTTGTCGTAATCATCGCCATACATGTAGCCAATGGTTTCCGTAACATGTTGGGTATCGTCGCTGATAGAAAATTGTGAAGCGTGGCCCCGACGGGGAGCGTATCCTTCATTATACTCATAAGATGAAGTCGAGGCCTATGGAAATCGGCGAATATCAGCCAGCTTATCCAATCTGCATTCTCAGCTGAATAGACAAATAGCCTTGTGCGGATAATATAACAAACACAAGGTTCTCAAAATGGGTGCCCAGTGAATCAAAGTGTGATTTAACGAGAGAAAAACAAGACGGGAGATAAACGAGGGAACTCCGTCTGGCTCCAGCATCTGGCGATCTTCTCGTAGACGAAGCGACGTAATCAGACAACGGTTTGCTGAAGATTAGGGGCAAAAGGTACAATAGGGACAATGGGGACAATGGGGACAGCAACGGGCGTGCGTCGAAGAACCAGAGAAGAGGGGAAGGGCTTGAATCAGCCACCCGATAGAGCGGGGGGGAGGTTATGTATGTGGAGTATCACAACTTCGCAGGGGGGCGTATAGTGTAAATATTGAGCGACGACGAAACTCACCTGCATCATGAATCAGGCGAACAAACTGGAGGGCAGGAAGCGGGAGACTGAGATGGCGGATGAAGAGGACAAGAGGCCACTGGAAATGAGCGATCGAACGAGGAACCTGGGAGGGGACGGGCAGAAACGCCAAAGCGAAGGGGGTTCAAGGTGGAAGGATCATCGAAGCGCGGCGAGTGAAGACGGGCGGCTGGCACGAACTACAACAAGTCACATAATACATCCACAGCGGAGCGAGAACGAAGTTAGGATTACGAGAAAAGGAAGGGCGTAGTGGCCACCATGGGAGAAGTGAGAAGACCGGTCGACAGGAAGCGAAACAAGAGACGGCTCTTTGGTGAGGATGGAGGATGGAGGTTGGAGGTTGGAAGTTGGAGGTTGGAGGTCGAGAGTAAAGCGATTTGGTAAGAAATCGATTATTTGATGAGGGATGGTTATAGCAATCACTACTAACTACTGCATGGCCGCCATTTTGCTAGTTGTAAATCATGCTGTGATTTATCCTGATGATCTGCCATTCCACACTAGATAACTAAAGGTTTTAACCTGTTTAACCCAACACCGTTAACTAGTTAACTTATCGGGGTTTTCACTCTCATAGGAGAGAGGAAGAGCGCGAGAAAAGTCAACCAACGTAAATAATAGAGGCCAAACCGGAAATGTTTCAACAGCCAAAACACCAAGAATGAACAGCCCTGTTTGCATGTAAACAACTGTAATGCTTTAATAGTCACCCTCCCACTATCATGAGCAGGCTCTTGATCACATGGCGACCTCCTTTTAACTACGCGGTAGATATCGATGGGTACGAAGGAGACGTTGCACGCAGGTTACTAGTATGCACTTGGTTGACAGCCTGATAGCCCGAGAGCCTGAGGGAATGAAACTCATGTATTCTAAATTTATCTGCCCACTCGCATAATTTCCTTTAAATGATGTGCATGTGCAATTTTGGTGTGCACTAGCTTGGTTGGAGTAATGTTTATATTTCGAATCTTACACGCGTTGGATGTGAGCAGGTAGAGTTTCTCCTCCGCATTTGTTTGACCAGATAATCAAATGAATGCTCCATTACCAATGCATTATGCAGATAAATGTTCCGTGCTGCTGGCCGTCCGTCGAATATATTTCCACATCGCAGTGTATATGCTTATATCAAGATATCCTTTAGTTGAACGGTGCAGAATGTTGTGGGCGCCGATGTTGCTTTTTTACAAGGCAAGGCATGCGATAACGATCTGGCTTTGTGGTCTGGAAGCATTTTATTTAACTTCTCGGTTTTCAACATATACAGCATCTCTAGATTCCACCACGGCAGGGAGTGTGTCCTTTTCTCGTAGGCTGTAGTTTTACAGGAAGATCTCCAGATATTGTAGAGAAAGCCGCTGCGTCTTCATATATCAAGTGCGAGCTGTGGTAACCCGACGAATTGTAAATCAGATTGTATTGCTGATAGTTTAATTTTAGTTGAGATAATTTTCTTTTGTATTTAGGGTAGGGTGGGAAAACTGCACTCAAGAGGTCTAGGGATTGAAATATGTCACTTCTCTTAAGGGAGTTTTCTACATTGGGATCACAGAGATTGCACAATAACCTGTGAAACATAGCAGTGGGACAATTAACTAAATGCTGCAGAATATCACCATGATAAGAGACATATTCTATCCAACAAAAATAGCAGCATTCACAATCCTTGCACCTGTCTTCTTCTTCTTCACAATTTAAAAAGTCTCAAGGAAATCTGAAAAACATATCTGCCTGCCATCAAAATGAACAGGAAAATACAGCAACATGCTTGATGATGCACAGCAGTTCCACAGAATGGATAACTTGCATTGGATGTGAACAGTGATGGAGTTGTGGAAAAGTATTGCACACATTTCAAGTGACCCAGGTCAGAAATCCTGAAAGTCCAACATTCCATTCTCTCACTGTTCTATAAGCTCATCTTCCATTCCAATATTTTGAAAAGCCTAACAAGGTGTGCCATCTTAATGCTCTGAGAATTAAGGTTTCAATAACTTAGTGATCTGCTCAGGACAGATCAAGCCCTCTATATTCCTCTGATCACACATTGACATCTGCAATCTATTGTCATTGAGAAACTTAACAAGCCTATTCCTGCACAACTGACACCTCAATTTCAAGTGGTGTGGTTAGGAATTGTAGGATCAGTTAGGTTATCTGAGCACCTAACATTTCCCATAGCAGCTGTCAATGTTAATGATGCTGACCAACACAAAGAGAGAGCTGGTTCAGTCAAGACCATCATAAAATAAGACATGAGAGATATCTGAGTACTTAGGGAGAGAGGGCATTAGATAATTAAGAGTGTATGAAACAACTCTCAGCTCTCTATGTAACTGATCACTGCCTGGTGATGCTGTAAATTGACAGATCAAACTCTCTCTGAGATCACTGTTGCAGTCCAAAACCTGATCAGGGTTTTGTTTGTGTCTGAAAACTGGAATAATATGTTCAAACTGTAAATGTAAAATTTTGGTTAACAAATAGTCTTCTCTTGCATTCCTTATGTCATGGTTATGTTTGAAAAAGAGAGAGAGAGAAGCGCCAACAAGCTCAAAAGCGTGCAGAGAAAGAGAGAGGGAAAATGCAACAATTGAGAAGTTGGTCTCATGTTGAAACAGAGAATGTAGACATCCGAATTGAAAATATATATATATATCAAAAAGAAAAGAATCGCTGGAAGGTTTCAAAATGCAGAGAAGGTCAAAACGAAACAAGGTAAAAGAACAAAAAATACCCAAGAAATTGACATCAACACGTATATAGATACACTCATCGGATCCTAGAGTAGAAGAGTAGAATGCATATAGTTGAGATGGGTAACAAGAGGGGCGATAAAGCTGTTTATTCGGCTAGGGTAATGGTGGTGTCGCACGGATATTCGCTTGAACGAGCATAACTCACTGGTGAGAGAGGTAGAGGTTGGAAATCATTGGGACAGGTGCGGTTGCGGAAAAAGGAAATGCTTGCACAGGTCTTCGTCGTTTGCTGGTGCTTTTGATAGCATTTGGGGTTGTACCAAGGTCACAGTCCAGAAAACGACGGTTAGAGATTTGAAGCGTCAACGTAGTTACTAACGGATAAACAATTAGCTTGTCGCTCACGACAACACAGACATCAGACGTATCTGTCTATATATAGCTCTGAAGATAAATCTAAGTTAATTAAGAAGCCCTTACCTAGGAAAAATGCCGGTTCTATCACCTATGCGCCCAGTCCACCAGTCCTCTTTCTTGTCTGTTCTTTTGAGAATGGTAATGATCTCACCCTTTTTAAATCCCAAATCGCCTTCCTGGTCAGCATCAAAAGTGAACAATGCCACGACTTGGTCCTTTTGCAATGAAGCAGCCTCCCCTTTTGAGCCGAAAACTGGTTTGGGAGCTGTGGGACGTGTCGGCCTTCTGTCGCTGTACATATAACCATCTTCACCACCGCGATTGTAATTATCGAACGTCTCCCTTGGATTAGCTCGTGTAGTGTAGGATCGATGCATGCCACCGCTAGGCGGTTGCTGGTCGTAGACATCGTCAGCCCATGTGCTTGCACGCCTTGGTCGATCATGGTATTGGTAGTCATCTCGCGAATTTAAAGATCCTGTGCGGTCTCGTCGCACACCTTCTCCAAACGCATCACCTCGTTTCCCCTCCCAAACAACTCTATCATGCGAGTTGTCATATATGGGGATATCGTTGTACATTGAATCATTCCCAAAGGCCGCGTTACCAGAGAACGCACGTGATTGAAGAACAAGCATTAGTGGTTCTGCCGCAGGGGGTGGGCGGATTGATCCTTCAAGTAGCTGGCGAGCAGATACTTTGGAATTATAAAGTCGTTCATTGGCATCCTTCCTCTCCACTAGTACGCTTCCCTCCAGGCTTACACCCGCAAAGAGGCCTTTTGTCTTGGAGTACGAAAAAACTCCAGCGACCCCCTTTGTGCTCGCGGCTCCAGCAGCTTCAGCGTTGCGCCCAATGGGTCCGGCCGCAATAGAAACATTGCCTCCTAATGTAATACTGCCTGCCTGGGAGAACGCCCGGACGGCGTTATAATCGTTTAGAATGAAAACAAAATCTGTCAACTCAAAACCGATCTGTCCACCAAATCCCGCCCCGGCCGTTGCGATTGCGGACGGCGCTGACCACGAATTATCTGCCAAACGAGCGACGACAATACCTGAGCCGAATCGAGCTGAGCCAAGAAAGCCTGCTTTGATCACAGTGAGGACCGCAAGCCCCTATCCTGCAAAATCAGTAACCGCTTTCATGAAAAGTTCAACAAATCATCCATCTGGTTCTTAATCCATCACATACCTTGGCGTTTGCTAATATCTGAGGGGGAATAATTTTATCTGGGCCAAAAGCTTGACGGGGATCAACGAAAGAAGCGAGAATTTTCCCAGCTTTTCTGCATTCGCCTAGTTTTCCATCAGATATCAGAATGTCAAGGAGCGGCACGAGGTATTTGGAGTCAATACGGGGTTACTACTCACTCCTCATAGAAGAGGGCAGCGGATTATGTATTCCTAGAGGCATATTTCCGTACGCGGTAGTTGGGTAAAGATGAGCGGAGAACTGGATGGGGCTTTCACTACGTATATAACGCCGGATGAATGCTAGCAGGACGGGAAATGGGAAAAGAGGAGGTGGTGGTGGTGGCTTGTGCACAAACGGCGGATGACTGCGGCAGAGGCTTTACTGAGGCTCCGGTCCGTAGATCTAAAACGGCGGTTTTGTTGACTCCGCTGTGCCTTCACATCCTAATATGTAAAGATTACGGAAGGCTACGGACGCAGCCACGAGCCACGACGTTATTGAGCTGCGGCGAAACGGTGTGATGACAGTGAGGAGACAGAAGAATGCTGGAAAGCTTTTGGCTTGGAGTGGCTGAGTCAGTGACGATAGCCGGCGGTTATTACGGGCGTAATCATCATTTCGCCTAGTAAAATCAAACTCTAAAGACTCCGTCGACAAAATCGTCAGAACTCCGAGATCGAATGTCACGTGTCTATAAGCGCGGTACGCGGCTGATAGCAGCTTGTGGTGTTTGGTTAGTTTGTTCCTTTGGCATCGTTCCTGGGAAGATGGCTGTGATGCATACTCAAGTCCAGATTGAACCAAGACACAATTAAGCAATAATATATATCAACCATTGCAAGTATATTGACATGGGAACAGGTAAGTTTTCTATCTGCAAGGAGTGAAATGCCCTTACATACGTTTGTTCTTTTATCTACAGGGCTCTTATACTCTCGTGCTCTAGTAAGGATTTGTGTGTGCGGCGACGAAGGAACTGGGAAGTCTAGTTTGATCACTTCCCTCGTCAAGGGCGTCTTTGTCACAAATAAGATCCAGCCGGTCCTACCTCATATCACCATTCCTCCGACAATTGGCACTCCTGAAAATGTGGCCACAACCACTGTTGTAGATACCTCCGCCCTTCCTCAAGAACGAGCAACCCTGGCTAAGGAAATCCGAAAATCCAATGTCATTTTACTGGTATACTCGGACCACTACAGCTATGAAAGAGTTGCCCTGTTCTGGTTGCCATACTTCCGCTCCCTGGGTGTTAATGTCCCCGTTGTTCTATGTGCCAACAAGTCAGACCTTACCCCTGAAGGCAACGGGTCCCAGGTTGTTGAGGATGAGATGCTCCCGGTAATGGCGGAATTCAAGGAGATCGACTCCTGCATTCGAACCAGCAGTAGGGAGCATCGTAATGTCAACGAAGCATTTTTCCTTTGCCAAAAGGCCGTCACACATCCCATTGCGCCCTTGTTCGATTCCAAGGAATCGGCTCTGAAACCCGCTGCCGTTAGTGCCCTTCATCGAATCTTTTATCTGTGCGACAAGGACCGTGACGGATATTTGAGCGATATGGAAATTACAGACTTTCAAGCAAAGTGCTTTGGTAAACCTCTGAGGGAAGAGGATCTGGTCCATATCAAGGAGACTATACGCAGGTTTTACCCAGATGCTGTCACACCTGCTGGCATCAGCGTACAGGGCTTCCTACAACTTAATAAACTATATGCTGAAAAAGGACGACATGAAACAATATGGATCATACTACGGACATTCAAGTACACGGATAACCTGTCTCTACAAGAAGATTTTCTCCACCCTCGGTTCGAAGTGCCCCCCTTTGCCTCGGCGGAACTGTCTCCCGCTGGCTATCGTTTTCTTGTCGATTTGTTCCTTCTCTCAGATAAGGATAATGATGGTGGACTCAATGACACGGAGCTGGCATCTCTGTTTGCGCCTACCCCGGGATTACCTCCCTCTTGGATAGAGGGTGCCTTTCCCTGTTCAACTGTACGAAATGAGACTGGCCACATTACTTTGCAGGGTTGGCTTGCACAATGGAGTGTGACTACATTTACATCACCGAAAACCACACTGGAGTACCTAGCTTACCTGGGATTCGAGTCATCCGACCGAGGGAACCCAACAACCACTGCAGCACTGAAGGTGACCAAACCACGGAAAAAGCGGCAACGCCCTGGCCGTGTTGGCCGTAATGTTGTCATGTGCTATGTCCTAGGAGCCCCGGCCTCAGGAAAGTCATCTCTCCTCGACGCATTTCTTTCGCGTGGCTTTAGCTCGACATACCATCCCACCATCCAATCACGCACCGCTGTCAATACTGTGGAATTGCCTGGCGGCAAACAATGTTACCTCATCCTTGACGAACTGGGTGAGCTTGAACCTGCGCTTCTCGAAAACAAAACCAAACTTCTGGATCAATGCGATGTGGTCGCATACACCTATGACTCTTCTGACCCTGACTCTTTCGCCTATATTCCCATGCTGCGGGATAAATATCCCCACCTAGCGGAGTTACCAAGCGTATTTGTTGCCCTCAAAGCCGATTTGGACCGGACGACCCAGCGAGCAGAGTTCCAGCCAGACGAATACACCAGCCGGTTAAACATGCCCAGTCCACCTTTACACGTTAGCGTAACGTGGGATTCCATACAGGAGCTGTTTGTTCACCTTGCAGAGGCAGCGATGGAGCCCAGCACGGCATTTCCGCGAACTGAAGATGATGTTGAGGGGAAATGGATGGCATGGGGGATTGCGATTGGGGCGGTCGTCTGCGCTGGAGCGGCGGCTGTGGTTATATGGCGCAGAGCTACAGGTGGCATGAATTGAACCACCCCTTGCGCCTTTGGCGTTTGGTGTTATATACTAGCAAGGCATCCATCAGCTAGATAGCCTATCATGCCAATATAGGCTTCTAAATGTAGGTATATGAAGTACGATATCCATGTATATCAATGTGAAAATTGTATAGATTTTTTTCTTGGCAGTAACTAGCCCTGGAGGTAACCTAATTGTAACATGACCACGCGACGATCACCTGACTCCGACTTCCCCACACTTTCTGACGGAGCCGCTGCCCATACAGCTGGTTGTGGCTGAACTCAACCTCCTGCCATCACTCCCACAAGTGGATGATGGCAAACGCCTCTAGCTATCCCTATCTCCTCGTCTGGGGGCGAGGCACAATTAGCGCAATTTTTTAGCGCGTACTTAGTGTATTAAATACATAAAAACTACTGGATGATATGAGAGATCTGCTGTATTGGTGTGTTTTAGTGTAATTTATGTAATCTATCTGATCTAATCCTAATTAATCATTGGAATGAAACTCCTGCCAACACTGACTTTTCAAACAGAGAGGAATATTGTTACATGCAGCACAACCATATCTTGATCTTGGAGCTTTATCTTGTTTCTGCTCTGTTCTCTTTCTTTTGTACTGACACCAGGCACAAGCTCAAGGTTCTGACAGAGGAATTCAATGGTGATTTAGATCTGGATTTGATTGAGTAGTAGGTAGAGGATTTGAGAATTCCAGGAGTTGAAGATAGAGCTGCCGACAGAATTCAAGATGAGATATAGTAGTATCAGTAGTGCCAGTAGTGTCAGTAGTGCCAGTAGTGCCAGTAGTGCCAGTAGTAGCCAGTTGATGAAGAATATAAGCATTGACAATAGCATGATCAATAATCCAGTATAGAATTGACAACCAGGTGCGATTGGTGGGCATATGAGTCTCATAGAAAGCTCTATACTGATTTGCTAGGTCAATCCCATTCATATAATGATTGTAGTCATCAATGATGATAGGAATCTTCATAGATTGTTCAAATTTATCACCAAATAGCTGTTGAATCTGTGAGCCATTGGTGGAATTGATTCCAGGATGTTTCTGGATACATTCAATGAAGCTGTCTGGCTTATGAACTGTAGATAGTAGTAAAACCACATTATTATCTTTCCATGTAAGACAGAGAACTTCATTTTGAGGGATAATACACAGAGTATTGAAGGGAATATGAGCAGATAATCCAGAGTTCTTTAATTCTTGTAAAAGAGGTGGTAGATTGGCAGGATGGGTGGTTCCACAAGCTCCAATTTCTTGCTTTCAAAGATAGTGGAATAGAGCAACAGAGGTGAAGTAGTTGTCCATATAAATTGAGTAGCCAGCTACCTCTTTACTGTTATTCAACTTCATATGCTGCTTGGTGCTCTGCTGCTCAGTGCTCTGCTGCTCAGTGCTCTGCTGATTAATGCTCTGCTACTCAGTGCTCTGCTGATTGATGCTCTGCTGCTCAGTGCTCTGCTGCTCAATACTCTGCTGCTCAGTACTCTGCTGCTTGATGCTCTGCTACTCAGTGCTCTGCTGCTTGATACTCTGCTGATTGATACTCTGCTGTTTGATGCTCTGCTGCTCAGTGCTCTGCTGATTGATGCTCTGCTGCTCAGTACTCTGCTGCTCAGTGCTCTGCTGCTCAGTGCTCTGCAAGAATACTGGCAGCCATTCAATCAATTCCACCACAAGAGATTCAGTTTTGATTAATCCTGGAGTTCAGAACATTGTACTTATGCAGAGATTATCATTGAATATGAAAAAGGTTCAAAGATAGCTCTGTTCTTCTAGTTCAAAGATCTTATATCTCTGCTTAATTGATTTCTGAGGTATCTTGACTGTGTATCTTGATTGACCAAAGAATCAAATCATCATCTCATCAATGAAGAGATTGAAACCAGAGATGTAGTATCTCTGACAGACTGTATGAAAATTTGAGTACAGAGACTCTAGCTTCTGAATGAAGAAAGATTCCAATCTGTAAGAGTTGAATATATGGATATATCTCTTAATCTGCTCAAATCTATACTGTTTCATATGAAATTTTGATGAATATAGTGGTCTCTGAGCATCATTCTTATTTCAATAATCTTCAACTGTTGGAGATTTATGTATTTCCATATAGATAATCTGCTCAAAAAATACCTTTATTTCTGCAGAAGTAGTTGGCTGTTAATCTTGAGAATTGAGAGCTGGATTTCTTGAGATCTGTATCTCTGCATAGGCATTGATGGAGCTTGTAATATTCTGAATATCTGTCTCTGAGATATAGAGAGAGAATAGAGTATATGAACTCTGTGGATCAATATTATTAGATAGATTGACAGCTGACAGGCAATGAAGAGCTTTTATAGAATTAAATTTGACATCTTTCAGAGATGGAATATCTGCTATAATTTCACTTGAAGATTGTTTTCATTTCTCACTCTTTTTTGTACTGTCTAATAAATAATTAGCAGATATTATTTCAAGAAGTATTAGAGAACTGGAAATACCTTTGAATGCCATGGTTCTGCAGAGTGTGGGGTGAGAAGAAAGATGAATTCTTGAAGCTGAATGATGAAGCAGCAATATATTGAGAAGAAAATATGAGATAGTGGATCTGTACCAGCAAATAGAATTGCATATATTTTAGTATGAGAAATTATTGATTGATACTTCTGAACTAACAGTCTACAGAGAGTGCTATCAAAAGAATTGCGCTGGCAAAAAGACAACTAGACAGTGCCACAAATCTTGGCAGAAATTCACACTGTATTTTATACTGAATACTCAGCTCTTGATTATTTCTTGTCTCTGCTGCTATTCAATATGAAATCTGTCTGTCAATCTGTCTGCCAATCTGCATGTCAATCTGTCAATCAGATAAGTATTCTATTCCTTCATCTGTCTATGCTGTCTTTCTTCTCTATACTCATTGCCATCTTCTAACTCTATAATCTTTTCAATATGTACAGAAATCCACTCAATCCATGTCTGTATCTTCTCTTATGATAAATTCTTTCATATCTGCTCTCATACTCTAACAGCTTCTGTATAGTTCTTAGAAGCTTCTTTTCTTATTATTCTGTGCTTCATTCAGAGCCAAGCTGCCTCAATTACATTGAGATCAGATGAATTCCCACATCAAAGCAGCTGTTGAATCTCATGAATATTGTATATATAATGTTGAATATAGTGATTGTGTGAAGAGGTCTTATTCTCTTGCACAATAGTATTCAGACAATCAATTTGACACTCTTTTGCAAAGAGAAATAGCTTTGATAAGAGAATTTGAACTTGATAGTGATATCAATCAATTCCATCATCTTTGTTATGAGATAGCTTGTCTGTGATCTGTTTGAACTTTCATATTAGTTTTTGATCTGATTGCTGACAATCAATCTGTAATTTTTGAATATCATTTGACAGCTTTCATTCTTGCCTCTTTATAGATTCCATTTCAGTATTTAAAGTCTCAATATACTCAAGGGATTGAGCATGCTTCTGCAAGATTTCTCTGATCCAACAATGAAATGAGTTCTTCTTATTATACAAGAAGCAGACTCAGAACATGAATTCAGATAATCTCTTTCATTATTTATATATACAGCTTCAAGAATAGACCTCATGAGGTGCACACTATATTCTATATTCATCTTATTAATAAAGAAGAATAACAGAGATTTCATCTGATCAGATAACATTCTTTCAATTCTTCAAGATTCAATCTTTATACTTCAGACAGAATTGAAGTTGATCTAGTTGTATCTTTTTGATAAGTTCTGACTTCTGTATAGACTTTGTTTTTCACAGATCTGCTTTGTGAAGAATTCTTTATATAGTTATAGAAGATATCTCAATTTCTTCATTACTGAATTCATTGATAAGATCAGTATATGTCTTTTCTTGTCCATATTGATTATGTTGAACCTTTGCAAGAATAGTGTTCTTAATACTATCATTTCTCTGAGTTGATCAGCTAGATTTGAGGGCATCTCAAAGTCATTCATTGTGAAGTATAATATGAGACAGTTCAGAATCAAATCCACATTCAATTGCATATTTATATATACAGTTGATTTGACTCTTTGAGATCTGAGTGATTTCTGTGATTTCAGTATTTGACTTGTCAAAATAGGGTGATTTAAGAGCCACCACAAGAGCTCTTGTGGTAATATCAGTATTGAGTGCCATATGAATCAGCAGATGAAATATTAGAGATGAGATATTTGAGAAAAAAGAGGAATCAATTCAGAATACATGGCATTCTCATATAAATAGAATGTGGGGTCATTTGAAGCTAAATGTAATTACTCATTAAAACATTGTGGCGCTTCTTAGTTGTATAAATTGAATCTGAGCGGCGCAATTCTTTTGATAGCGCCCTCCGTAGTTAATACACTAATGGTAATGCGCTAATTGTGCCTCGCCCCCAGACGAGGAGATAATTATTATATCAACAACTTGCCCGGGATTTCCATCTCCTTTTTCGTTTCTATGTTCTTGATTATTCAGGTTTAATTTTTGTGCAATTCGCTCTGGTACAAGCGAAATCTCTCCCTCGTCGCTCGAGTTTCCCCTTTCATGCGCAAAAGCTTGACCTCAGTCAGCCAAGCCGTCGATCATTCGAAACCCCCCTCATCAATGTCTGTTCTCTATATTTGTCCTTCCACCACGTTGTTTGAGTGTTACGGTCACATCTTCTGCAGTACCATTCCCCATTAAGCGCATGTAATCTTTGGCTATAGGTGTCCATCTCTCCGACGCCATGTTGTAAGTTTCCTGATCAAATTGCCCGATGTGGGAATGGTGAAGCTATATTACCAAAGCGGCTGCCATAATTTTTCAGCGTTTTCGTTATTAGTGTTCCATCTCATATGTGTATCCAGTGTACTACCTCCTCCTCCACCCCGCTATGCGATGCCTTTGGCATACGCCAATGGCACCGTAAACGGCATGCCTGTGCCAATTATCGAAACGAGCAACATTATAAAACGTCCTGAAGGGGGCTGTTCGCTTCAGGTCGGAGAAGGTTGGTACCAAGCTGTCGCGTCCTGTTATTCTTCTGAGCCTAACCAACTGATCACCGAATGTATAGGAACTTATATTCTTAGGGATGATCTGCTCCTCGCGACTCCACCGCCTCATCCATCCGAAGCTCCTGTTGTTAGCACAAACCCATTGGCTACGATTCCCCACCCTCCAACATCTGGCGTTAAGCTATCATTAGTCGTTGTCCAACCTCGCAAAACTATGCCTCAACTTTACAAAGTAAAGACGTCTCTGAGTGGGACGTCAGACCTTCAGAGCATCAGGGAAAGCGATAATGAAGTCCGGCCAACATCTAATACATCGGAGGCTTGTGGATCGGTACCTGCGTTTGGAGAGGGAAGCCTCGCACTCGCGACGAATATAGGCAAGGAGGGACCTGGCTTAAAGCGGCGTAAACCCAAGAACAATATCCTCAAAAGTAGTTCAACTTTCGTTTCTCGTGTTATTACTCACGATACGGCAGCGAAGAGACTGGCAGAGAGAAGCCCAGATGGCATCTATGCATTCGCAAATATAAATCGTGCTTTTCAATGGCTGGACTTGAGCTCCAGAATAAAGCAGGAACCTCTTACCAAGATCCTTTTCACAAAGGCGCACATGCTTTGCCACGATGTGAACGAGTTGACGAAAAGCACAACACACTTGGATGTGATTATGGGCTCTTCTGTGGGGGATATCATGTGGTATGAGCCACTTCAGCAAAAGTATGCTCGCATCAACAAGAATGGCGTCATCAATAATTCTCCAGTAATCCAGATCCGATGGATTCCTGGCTCAGAACACCTGTTTCTGGCAGCCCATGCAGATGGCACCCTTATTGTCTATGATAAGGAGAAGGAAGATGCTCCATTTGTCCCTGAATCTACAGATATTAGTCCCCCTAAAGCTGCCGATGAGAAAAAACCCCATAATTCAAGTCAACCATTGATCATTTTAAAGTCTGTCAATTCGAAGAACCAGAAAACCAATCCGGTTGCCTGCTGGAAGCCGTCGAACCACCGCATCAATAATATTGCTTTTTCCCCCGATAGTAGGCATCTGGCCGTCGTTTTGGAGGATGGATCACTCCGGATAATTGATTATTTAAAAGAACAGTGCGTGTACCCCTTTCTGGCGTCTTTGGAAATAAAATTGTCACTCTTAACTAACCTTACATTTTGTTTTAAGAGTCCTTGACACGTTCACGAGTTACTATGGAGGAATGCTCTGCGTTTGCTGGTCTCCAGACGGCAAGTATATTTTAACCGGAGGCCAAGATGACCTTGTCTCCATTTGGTCACTCCCTGAACGCAAAATTGTCGCCCGCTGTCAGGGCCACCACTCCTGGGTCTCCTACGTGGCTTTCGATCCTTGGCGATGTGATGAACGGACTTACAGGTTCGGCAGCGTTGGAGATGACTGCCGACTGCTCCTCTGGGATTTCAGTGTTGCGATGCTCCATAGGCCAAAGGCGGTATGTTGTCCACCCTTCTAAATACATCCTTCTGCTATTTCGGGGCAGTATACCCTGCTCTCACCCAGTCGTGTGTCTATGGAGCTACTAACAATAAATTTGAATGCTTAATAGCTTCAAGCCACGGCACGGCAACGTACTAGCGTTGTAGCCCGTACCGATGCTCTTTCTCCTAATTGGGTAAGATCTGACTCGAACCGCACAGACAGCAAACCTGTAGAGGAGAAGGAGACGGAGGATATGCCTACTTTCCACCCGGTTGAGCCTAGAGCGAGGACTGCACAACTACCTCCAATAATGGTAAGAGACCAGTCTGCAGACCGAAGCTCCTTATAGATAATTTTGAAACTGATAATAGTTACATTTGATAATAAAGTCCAAGGTAATTGGTGAAGATCCCATTTGTTGGCTAGGATTTCTTGAGGATTGCATTATCACCTCTTCACTTGAAGGTATGTCCATGGACTATATCCTCTTTTATCCGTATTTATATTTGTGGTAGTCTCTAATACCTTGCAGGCCACATCCGTACCTGGGATCGACCGCGAGAAAGCGTGAGTGAAGGCGTTCCTAATACGACAGTCTCTGGTTCAGAACAGGCAGGTGGCGCGGGGGACATTGCTCGGCCAGGATCGTACGATTCTCACGGCGGCTAGGAGAATGCTGTAGTTATGACTTTATGCCGTTCTCCTTCCCTCCCCCAAGGCCCCCCCCCCTTTCTCTTCCCTTTTTCACCCCTTCTTTTGCATGCCAGAGCATCTGTATACTCACCCCATTTGGTTGACGACCCTTCTACCGTCTTACGCTTTCTATTCTTGATCTTTTTTTTTTTTTTTCATCGAAGCGGTTCGATGCCATATGCGAATGGATAGTTATGAAACAATTTTTCATATTCATGTATGTATATATGTCTGTACATCCTAATTATTCCATGAAGATTTAGGGAAAAGTGCGGTGGAATACCCCACTTTCTTTTTTTCATTCTCGCTACATGTTTTTGATTCTTGTTTGTAGATATACATCGATTTTTCAAGAGAAGTCCCTGTCATCAAAATGCAGTTCCCCGTCGTGTTAATAAGGCTTCAATATCTGTTACGAAACTATATGCAGCCATTAGCACATCTTGACAAAAACCAACTTGATCTATTTCATGGCGTAAATTTGGGCGTCGATGGCCAAGTAACTCTTGTTAGGCCACTGGGGCAAAAGAGTTCAATCACCACCAGAGTCGTGGTAGTATAAGAGGGGACGAATCACCCAATCCCTTCCCAACTTGTTCCAATTGTTCAACATGTCACATGATACCACTTTTCATGGAGCCTTGGAAGGTTCTAAGCGAGGACTTTGCCTCATCAACAACTCAAAGAAACACTCGATTGCCCTCAATCCCATGCTATCTGTATCGCTTTTCAGCGTACGCGGTGCACTAGCCTTCTACAAATAATGGCAGCAGTCTTGAACTCTCAACCAAAGATCCTCACCATCAACCGGCCAGACGCCCCACAAATGAACCAAACCTTGATCTAAGCCTTCCATGATGCCCTTGAGAACAGCCCCTCTGCAGACCTCCTATCTGTTTTCGGGGCTACATATGTGCGTGCGCATCGAGTAGCCCAATATAAGGAGCTTTCTGAGGCTGGCTGCCTCAATTTCATAACCATCAACAACCTGCATGATGAGATCAGTGCTCACCCCGAAATCAACTTGCACGATTATTTCCCCTCAGACTACGACCGTCGGTACAAATGGGTAATGCCAAATGCAACGCCAGAAAAAAGGGCCGTTGAGCCACAGCACCCAAAAGAGCCTTGTGACTGGCTCCGTGAGAGGCTTTCTAAAGTCGATACTGCCAATATTCTTTACCCACTATCTAATCAAGCCACAGCGCTCCTGCAAAAGTATTCCAACCTGGGCGACAGCTATTCTTCTTCGCAAACAGAGCTTGCGGCCTCATTGAAATCTCTTATTTTGCATTCAAGAAAGGCTATTTGACCTGAGCACACGAGGAGCCGTGGTCAAGTGCGGCAATGAAATTGCTATCAAAGTCTTTCCCAATAGCAGAGATTTGACAGAGTATCACAATCTCCAATACCTTGCTGATCACGTTCCTGAGCTCCCGATTCCCAGAGTCCATGGTCTGATTACCCTTGGGAATTTCCATGCTATGTTCATGTCATATATCCCAGGAATCACCCTTGACAAAGCCTGGCCAGATCTATCTCATGAAGCAAAATTATCTCTTCAGAGGCAACTGAACTGGATATTCTCTCAACTCAGGAACCTCCAGCAACATGATTGACCTCAACTAGGAGGCCTGGGTGGGGAAGACTACCGCATCATGGAACTTTTTGCAAAAACTGGCATTACAACAGCAAGGCAATTTGATGAGCTGCAATTCTCTGCAAAACATCGTGCAAGTCCTTCCTATGTGAAGCTACTTCGTTCATTTCTGAGAAATGAAAATAGGTCTCTTAAGGGTTCAGTGTTTACACATGGCGATTTGAAGAAAACAAATATCATGGTTGAAAAGGATCCCACCAACACCGATGCGTATATTATAACTGGAATCATTGATTGGGAGGAGGGTGGTTTCTATCCAGAGTATTATGAGTGTACAACTCTGTCGAACGGCCAGAGCATTGATTGTGATGATGACTGGTATCTATATGTGCCAGACTCAATTTCACCCTTGCGATATCCTGTGCGCTGGTTGGTTGATCGCCTCTGGGGAAACCTTTTGTGGAACTGGAGGACGGATACAGTTCGATGAATATGGGCGGATGGTGTTTTATAGAACAGGATTTAAACATCCGAAATGGTTTCCCCTCAAGCAAGTTCTTCTTTCTTCGGAAGCCTCCACCGTGTCCTACTCTCACCGCAAACTGATAGCTTTCACTGATATGAAGCCCTCACAGCCAGGCTTCGCGTTTTTCCTTAATGGTTCTTTCTTTCCTTTCCCCGATAGTCCGCTGTATCTACAATGATACCATTCTGTTCCAGCTTATCCAGAACCTCGAGGTTGAAATCCTGGCAACTGTAATCGGAAATATCATTACGGATAGGTGTCTCATACGCGATGCCTTTGACGGTTTCAATATTGCTTGCGTCGATCTCACATAGGGAGCAAAGCTCGATGAGGGAATTCGAAATGTTCGCATCCGATCGCGCCCTCACCTCAATAAAATATTTGTGACGAGCACCAAGGAGATGAATGATGGTCTTTTCACCTGTCTCTGCTGCATCGATGAACAAGCTCCAATGTTTGATGCCAGGGTTCTGGTAGATAGCAATCTTCAAAGGAACTGTAGGATGAGCCATTTTTTTTTCCTTTCTGGATCATGGACAAGGAAGCAAAATTTCGACTTAATATCTGCTCAAGGAACGGGCATAATTTCATGGCGCAATCTTCCTTCTTTGTGGGGTAAGATTGGTCTTAGTGTTTTCGTTGGACGTAGCAAAATTCCCAGCAGTTACGCTTTAAACAGCAAGCTTGGTTTATCATTATGCAACGCTGCCCAAAACGCGCCCTGCGACCAATTGTGGAGTGAGCAACATGTTACCATCACAAGGGAGGGCCATGTATGCGATACATACACTCCTCCAAAGAGCCTGAATTCGGACGACTCCTCTTTTTTTCAAGCTTGCTAATAATTGTTATAGGGTTGGGAATATCCCTTTTCAACTACCGTAGAGGTATAGAGACAGAGATATTTATACCTTTAAAGATGATGAATCAAGTAAATAATAGCACCAGTTATCTTTTTCATTCAACCAGTGCAAGCAGGACAGGACAAAGAAGGGAAAGGCGATGCCAGACAGCCAGTCGGCTTGGCTTGGTCATTCAAGAATGCGAGAGATGTGCCGATGCGACGTGTGCTATCCCCAGGTACGGGGTCCTTTCTGTGATGAGATGGGCTACTTTGTCGGATCAGGGCGGAGGCGTTGTATATTGCATTCGGACGTGACGGGCGCAATCACGCTGTAACTGGTCATTGATGGATGCTTGACTAGTCGTTTCATGGGCTGAGGTGGGGAGAAGCGTCGTTGGAGCGCCATGGAGGAAGAACGGATTGGAAAGCGGTTGGCCGCTGGAAGTGGAAGTCCCATGGAAGTTCCATGGATGTTCGAAAATTAAACGGCCATTTATTTTATTGATGCGTCGGTGGATGATTGACACATCTTGGCTGGTATATGATGCAGACGGGATCAGGTTGATGCAAGAAATGGTTGGAGAGCAGCGGCATATGCCATGTCCACAATGCATCATCATCAACATGAAACAGATGTTGACGTTGTATGTGTTGGAGTATAACACGGCTAAAATAATCAACCCTTTCCACCAACGACAGTTGATTTTTCTTTTCTTTTCCTTTCCTTTGTTGTTTTCCCTTTCTTGACAGCAGCAGGGATTATGAGCAACGCCGGTGAGCGCTGGACTCGCTGCAAGGCTCGGCATGACTCACTCGGCATCGCGCCATGCTACAAACTTGCAGTGGCTTCACTCCACCAGCGGCCCGTGAATACTGAACAGCCATGGCATCAGATCACGCGAAAAGAATAACAAAATCAACAATTTTTGGTGGCTCGGTGTTGGTACAGGTACGGGTACGAATACGAATACGATGCGCTCACCTTCCATCGCATTATAATGTCGTTTTTGCACGCCGCCATCATCAGCAAGAGTTGAAGGCTTTGGAATTTGTTGATCTTGTTGCTCCCACTTCTTCACATGATAAGGAGGAGGCAGGAGAATCAATGCGAATCCCGCATTCGAATATTCCGACCGGCTGCTTTGACGGGGGACAGTGCCGCCATATAAAAGAGTCTGCAAGCCAACTCAAGGAGCCTCCTCCTTGTGTTTCTAGGAGACGCGTCCACTCTCTCCGCGCTGGTGAGTTCTCAGCGACAAAGAACAGATTCGATAAATAAATTAACTATCGCATGGGTCTGAGCTTGTGGCTGGATTGCGGGTTTCCATAGGGCGAAAATTTGACACAAGCGTTTATGACCTCATATTTGGAACAAACTTTTTTATTATTCGTAATTAAACTGTTTTTTTATTTTTATATCATACTATGAATAGCCCGATTCGCCTTACCACGGGTGACGATGGCTATGTAAGCTTCAGTCAGTGAAACAGCACGGTTCGGCGGGCCCTGCCGGGTTTGATTCCAAACATCCTCTCCCCAATTCCTCGTCCCCACCAGCTAGTCTAGGCCGCGTAGTTGGTTCTATCTAACCTTTAGTTTGCAAACTTATGGGTATCCCGGCCCGTGGCCTGGAGGAGCTGGATCGCTGATATTCTCGCTTCCTCTAACCTCCTCAGCTTTGTGTGAATACTCTACTCCCATTCTCCTGCTCGCTCTTGATTCTCACCCCGCTTTTTCTCGTTATCTATCCTCGCGACCCTATGATTGCTCCAACATTTCTGCCATCGCCATTTCCACGTCCTGTCCACTAGGGATTCCTTGTTCTTCCCTTGCTACCATGCCACTGAGTTTCCTCACTAACGGCGGAACCGCAAGTCAGGCAAAGTACTTCGATATCAGGTTGGCATCATTAGTGATATACTCTGCACCTTCTTCATTATCCCTCTAGCGCAGTGAGACCTGATCAATTCCCCATAGGCTTGATAACGATTATATTGTATTTCGCGGGAACGAACATGAAGCCGCCAGCACCCTGTTGAATGGCAAGTTGCTCCTTTGCCTCTCGGAGCCCCTGCAGATCAAGTATCTGAGACTGAACCTCACCGGCATGTCGAAAATCCTGTAAGCTGTTTCACTCCGTTGGAAGGCTTTCGCACCAGAACCCCTAAGAAACATATATGGTGAATGCTAATAGTACCTACGAATAATCTGCAGCTTCCATGGATCTGCCAGGCGCAGAAAGCCTGCGAGGGAACACACATTTTTTGAGAAGACATGGTCATTTAAAGATGCTGGTAAGAACAAGCTGGAGACCTTGCCAGCCGGCAACTATGACTTTCCTTTCGATATCATCCTCCCGGGATCTCTCCCAGAAAGCATTGAGGGACTGCGCGACACCTTCATCACATATCGATTCAAAGCGGAGATTGGCCGGAAATACGCCAAGAGTATCGTCGTGCGGAAGCCATTGAGGATCATTCGCACCCTCGATCCAAGCGCCCTGGAGCTGTCGCATGCAATGGTATGTACTTCAACGCACCCGCACTCATACTTGCTGTCGCCCCCTTGGGGCCGTTCTCCTTACTGCATTACTCCAGCTTACCGTTTCCGCAATAGTCTGTGGAAAATATATGGCCGAATAAAATCGAATATTCAATTTCAACCCCTTCCAAAGCACTTATATTCGGAACTTCCGTCCAGGTGGATTTTCACATTATACCCTTGCTTAAGGGGCTTACTGTTGGTACGATTTCGACACAGCTGGTGGAAACCCACGATTTCGTCTTAAATCCTGAAGCCGCCCAAGCCGACCAATTGTCCCATAAATGGACGAAAGTAATCCTTGACGACTCCTGCACGCTGGACCAACTAAAGAAATCCCAATCCCTGGATGGAGAGGTTGAGGGATTTGCTTTTTCTCGAATCTTGAACTTACCAAAATCCCTCAGCAAATGCTTACAAGACGCTGATACGCGAGGCATAAAAATCAAGCACAAACTAAAGTTCAAAGTCCAACTCCACAATCCGGACCGTCACTTATCTGAGGTATATTTTCCCATATTCACTGTTATCGATTCCCATGTGCTCTCTCTCGCGTTCACGTATTGCGTATGCATGGGATATTTGCTAACAACAGAGCTCCGTGCGTCAACAGCTTCGTGCCAGCCTTCCTGTTTCGATTTTCATTTCTCCCCATCTCCCTATTGGCGACAATAATGACCTTATTGATCAATCGGTCCAGTCTGCTCAGCGAGCCATCCATACTATGGCCCAGCAAGCGCCCCCTCTCTACGGAGACCATCGATTCGATCAGCTGTACAGCGAAATAGATTGCTCCGGATATCGGACTCCCGGGAGCACCAGTGGCCCTGGCACACCCTTGTTATCTCTCAGTCGAAGTCTCTCAGCAGAGAACATTAATGGCGCAGTGCCCCTGGGGCATCAGCACATCTCTCCATCTGTTTTACATACCCGACTAAGCGACCTACACCTTAACGGCACCGCACTACAGCTGACACCTCCGAGCTCGGAATCCCCGGAATCCGCAGAATCAGCTCGTGATTCAACTGGCCAAGAACCCCGGCCGTTGGATTTCGGTAGCGGCATTCCCTCCATCAACATCCAGAGTCCTGGCATTGTTACCCCTGCAACCTCACGACCACCATCGGAAGATGGCAACATCTACTCTGGGCAGACTACACCTAACTATCATATTAGTGAAGTCGAGCACCTCTCCCGTGTCCCCAGTTACGCCACTGCAGTCCGATCGCATCCTTCGCCGCATTACTGTGAGGGGCTACCCGACTATCAAGCGGCCACTGCTGGAGATGTCGCTGGTATTTCTATGACTCCTGCGCTACCCCCGCAATCGCAGCAGGGGCGTGGTCGCAGGAGATCCCACAGCGCCTCGATATCTACTGAAATAAGACGTCGTCCACGGTTGCGGCTTCACGGCTGGAGTCATAGCGATGATATACAACAGCAATTACGAATGCCTCAAGTTTCTTAATGCGAGGTGGGAATCCATGTTTTAGTGTTTTCATGCAAATATATATGATAATGATGCCACTGTTTTATTCCCGAACCAATTAATCACCCTTGATATGATTCATACTTTTTTCCCTACGGCCTATTTGATATATTATCCGTTATTACACCATGACTAGAGGGTTTTTATTTTTCTTTCTTTGTTCTTGTTTATCAACATATACATACATACATATGCATATATATATATATATATATATATCTGTATCTGAGGGCTGCATATCGCTGGAGTTGGTTGGGATATAACAACTTTATACACTGCTTTTGCCGGGAAGTTGGGAAAGGATTATGAAGGTTTCATGATCTTGCTCTTTTTTATTGGTGTTGGGTTTTAAAAGTTTCCTTTTATCCTTCATAGGTTTATCATTGTATCCTTTTTGATTCCTCCCAGTCGAACGCATTTTCTTTATTTCTCTAAGACGCTCTTATTTCGGGCCTGAAGGGTGTTGGATGGATTTGTATCGCAATGTTGAGAACACAATCTCTCTCTGTTTCAGAATGTTTGCCACTGGTTTCCCTGACAGATGGATACATTAACGACTGGACCCTGTACATTGGTATAGGAGGCACGGACTTGAAACATGTTGTGACGGACGGAGGGAAACCCGTGACAAGGGTGCTGACTCACCCGACCTCATCACCGAGGCCTTGGCATCGCCAGTCCACAGATTGGGCGCAGAACAGAACTTCAGCGGATATTGTGCGCGGTATCAGGTACTCAGCATAATAGGCTGTTATAATATATATACGGTGAGAATCGTATTCTTCTAGTCTTCCTTGTCTAAAACAAATTGTATTTTCTCCAAAGACTAGCGAATCTTGCATGGCTTGCTCCATTTATCCCCGAATGACCACCAAGCGGGAAATGGTACCCCACCTCGTCGAATAGATAGAGCCTTTGATTCTCTCTTTGTGTGTGAGAGTGTGTGACTTCCACACAACACACCGTCGCTTTGGCTTTTGAAACACTATCCGTGAAACTAACAGTGTGCCCTTTTTCCTTTCAGAAAAAATCTTAAGACGATTGTTGCGAATTTCGCCTGGATCCGCCTCCAGTAAGCTTAAAAAAAGGGGGGGCCTTTCACTTTTTATATAACTATCACTGGGACGCTACGTTACCACCATGGGGTCGGCGAATCTCCCTCAGCGGTCCGCTACTGTTAAGACTGTCGCGACTACGAATACCGTCAAGAGTGATGACGAAGTCCTTCTCGACGGCGACATGAGCGATGTACGTCCTCGAGTGTTTTATTCTGATATTGGGGGTTAATATGGGAGAAGACAAACTAACTGATGGATTTCCCTTGCCCGAAAAGATTTCCGAACTGATGTTTAGAAGGTTACTTGCCTGGAAGCATGTATGCGGACACCTGGAGAATTATATTAATGCCACCCACAAGGCCCAACGCACCCTGGCAAAGGAATTTGAGAAGGTCCTCAAGGTAGGCCCCTCCCTGCCATTGCTAGTTGAATAGTGACGCGTGGGAAGGTCGTCGCTTGCTAACATTCCGGATACAATTTGCCTTTCATTCTTACCAGGCTGTACCGGAACCTCTGGAGGAAGCGGCGCAGTTCAGTGAGGGCAAGGGAGGTGTCGTTGGTCTTTTCGACAACATACGCATTAACATAACTGTAAGAAAACATTTCCATTTACGGATCATCTAGGTTTTGTGCCAAGTCCGCTAGGGCTTCTAACGGCGTACCGCCACAGGCAATCGTCAACCTTCATTTGGACATAGAGAAGAAGGTGAAAACCATTGCTCTCCCAACTCTCGAGCGCCTTCATACAGAGATCAAATCCAAAGCCAAAGAACTCCAGCATGGCTCCGAAAAGGGCACAAAGCAGGTTGAAAAAGCCCGCTCTGCGGCCCAAAAGTATATTGAAATGCTGGGGAAATATACGGCTGCTTTTGCCTCGGGTACCGGAGGCAAGCTAGACCCCGCGCACGATCCTTACGTTCTGAAAAGAGGCACCGTATATCGCATGAGCAAAGTTGTGACTGAAGAAAACAATTATCGAACGGAGATGCTGCACCTTCAGGAATCCCTTGCCGCCTTCGAACCTCATATCATGCGAACGGTGAAGGATGCGCTTTTTCAGTTATCCGACTGCATGGGTGCGCAATCAGGCATTCCAGGAAAAATGTACGCAAACATCGCCCAAGTAGCTCAGCAAATCCCTGCCGATTTCGAATGGATGGACTTTACCGTGCGCAACGAGGCCTCCCTGATCAATTCCGCCGTCCCTCCCCTTAACATTGACGATGTTGCTTTCCCGAATCAAGACCACGTCGCCACCATCGCACTAATCGAAGGCACGCTCGAGAGAAAATCCCGCGCAATGATCAAGGGATATAGTGCAGGTTACTACGTCGTCTCTCCGGCTGGGTACCTCCACGGCTTCAAAGAGAACGACAACTACAGTCACGATCCAATACCCGACATCACACTCTATCTCCCCGAATGTGCTGTCGGCAACGCCGACGGCGTCAAGTTCACCGTCAAGGGTAAAGACATTTCGGGCGGCAAGGTCGGGCAAACCTTCGCCACAACCAGCGAACTTAGTTTTAAAGCCCCCTCCAAAGATATTGCGAGACAGTGGCTCGATGTTCTTACCGGCATGATTAACAGGTCCGGGTCCACAGCGGCCTCGCAGACCACAAGCCCAGCTGTGAGTAGGACTGTAAGCGGCGCGCATGGGGTTCCTCCACCTGTAGCTCATCCAGCCGCAGGGTCCACCGAAGCGCCATCCCCGCCGACGTCTGGGCAAGAAGAGGGGTTCGTGGCGGTGGCAGGTGGTGAAGTAGAGGCACCAGAAGCGGCGCCCCCAGATAACAATGTAGTGACTCCAACAGCAGCGCCCTTGGAAGATGCAGGTAAATCATAATCCTACATATATCCCATGCATCGACCTTTACCATTTCACAGCGAGGAGATACGATTTGTCGATTTGTTTAATTTTTGTTGAGGTTATATTTTTTGCTTTTTCTTTTTATCTCGTTCCACTCCCCCCTCCCCCTCCCCCACCCCCCTTTTTCTTTCCTTTTTTTTCATTTTCTCATTTTTCCATTTTTTTCATTTTCATTTTCTTGGGCTTTATTCCCCCTTTGGCATTTTCGGTATCATTTATAGTATTCTTGGCAATGCGAGAAAAATGAAGCGCTGAATCTTTGAAAAGCGCGACGACATACACATATTTATTTACACACGCTTCATTTTCATGTGTCGTACTGTACATTTAGATTTTCTTTCCATGCTGCATACAGATATCTATATTTGATCTTTCGGTATTCTGTTCTGAGCGTACACACTATGCTTGTCGAATATTCTCTCATTTGGCTAAATAACTAGTTAGCTACGTACCACATAGCTAGCTAGATCTTTTGCCATGCTGCAAACTGAAACATATTATATGTCGGACCCTTCCGTCACGTGGCCTGTATTCCACCACAGTCGTTCTTTAGAGTTAGCAACAACCTTTGGTCGATCAAGCTTGCGACCCTGTCATTATAATGCTTTCGCATGTGCGTTGGGCCTCCAGCTCATAGGCACTTGCAGCCGTTGTAGGGGATTAAATCGCTTCGACTGGGTATGACTTGGTTTTCTCAACCATGACATGTATGTACATTCATCCTTTGTAAAAGCTGGCCATTTATAGCTCTTCTTTTCCAACTCCCAGATAAATACATAGATACATGAATAAAATACACCGGGAAACAAACGCAGTCGCGGGTATGCGGAATAACACCCCTCCCCGCATAAAGTTCCAATGCTACCAGAAGAAATTGAAGCAGAAGATAAAACTGGCTTATCGGGAACTGCTAACTGAAATATGCCAGAAAAGCGGAAGAGGTATTTTGTTTCAGACATGTAAAATATAACAGCGTACAGGCAAAACAACATGGCAGGGTGCAATATCAGTGAGGACACGAGAATGAATAATCGAACGGTCGAGAACTACGAGGGAAAAAAGAGAAAAGAAAAGAAAGGAGCAAATAAGAAGAAACAAGGCACTGATTAAAGCGGTTAAGGCGATTATTATCAGAAATCATCGGGATACTCAAGATCCTGAAGCTTGTTACTTAGGAACTTACCCAGCGCTGCGGATTTGGATTCCAGGGCCAGAAGCACTGCTGGAGACGCGTCAAGATTCAGACTGGCCAGACGTTCTAGATCATTACTTCGGTCGATTTCCCACTGCAGCTGCAGAGCCGCGTCTGAACCGCTACGCGAAGGAGTTAGAGGCCTATCTGCTGCCGCTGGCGCACATGTCGGGTTGGGTGCTGATGACGCAAGGCTCATGGAATGTGGGTGGCCCATGGGGTGGCTGTCGAATGCTGTTGAGTATGATTCGACAACGGCAATGCCTTGTTCGGTATCGCTCGCTGCGGATCCAGGAGCTGCACGTTCTCGTCCATCGCTATGAGAGGATGTTGGTGGATGTTGCCGATGCTGCAGTGGGCTAAGATGGTTGGGACCCATGACGGCGAGCAGGACTTTGTCCGCAATTTTAGTGACGACTGCAACTAAGTTTTCGAATTCGAAGGCTATCGACCCAACATCACCGAGTGGCACGGAAGGGGCGGTCACAAACGAGGACGGATGGCTGGCAGGGTTCACGCCGGTTAGGTTACCGGTAGGGGCGTTTACTGCATATGATAAATACGCGGCACCATAGGTCGCGCTTAGGTTTCGCAGTTTCCGTGCAGGAAGTGAGGAAGCATGAGCGAAAATGGCCCCATTTGTAGCGAATATCCTATGTAAATCTGTCAGTATTGAAATACCTAGGGTTCAGTGTGACTGTGGGTGTAAGGGAATTAATTATTCCTCATTTTTAAATTTTTAAAATATCAAAATTATGTATATATACATATACACATATTCGAAGATACTAACATAATAGAGGTAATCTCTGGAGCGCAGAGGTTATCCTCTAGTAGGCTGGTTAGAGCCTCAGGATCCAGCATTTTGATACCGGGCAACTCTGGGATCATCTCGACAGGGTTGATATCGTCCAGGTCGGGGTCTGTGACATCAGCGCTGAAGGCCGAGGATGTCCTGAGCGAAGAGCAGGAGCAGTCTTCGGGGAAAAAGAAACAATTATCTATAAAGTCCACTTCCTCGTCGTCGTATTCAATGGGCTTGCCGTCACACTCGAGGAGATTTTGTGCGTACTTCACGTGACTTCTCTCCCATACAGGGACGAAGAACGGATCTTCAAAGGAGCAGCAGAGCGAGTCGGGAGGGCTGGGGCCAGCACATGCATCTACTTCAGTTATCGGCATGTTCGCAAGAGAAATCGCAGAAGGTACAAAATCGCATCATAGGACTTAGTTATCGATATGAAGTGGGAGCATGGCTGTTGCAGATATATATCGCTGGGCCAGCTTGGCTAGGGTGGGTTGGGCAGCCATAATATAGTATAGATAGATCTTGATCTAAACAGCGGACACGCAGCACTTGTTGAACGAGCATCCACGGGGCTACATGAACCAGAGCGATAAATACGAGAGGGAAAGAGGGTGGCAGAAGAAATAAAAGAAAAAGCAAAGACAGTTGGGGGTGTGGGATGGAAAAAAAGTGGACAAGTGACACCCAGGCACTCATTGCCTGGAGATTTCAGCCATAAGCGCGGCTTGAATAGTAAAACATATTACAGGTTAATTGTATGAAATGGAGATACGCATGCATGCGTCAGGTAGAAACTGGGGAAGAGGGACAGGAAAAGAACGAACGGACATACCTGCAGAGGCTCCAATGAGCCACGATCGGTATGATTGCCCGTTGATCGTTTGTTACAGTGCTTCAGAGGCCAAAGCGAGAAGATTTGCCCGCAACAAACAACCCCCAACAAACTACGAGTACGGAGTAATTACGGACCGTAGCTGGTGAATTAATAGTCTGTTTCTGTCAATTCTCCGTGGGCAGAAGAACAAACTAAAATTGAAAAAGAAAAGAAAAGAAAAGAAAAGAAAAGAAAGAAAGAAAGAAAGAAAGAAAGAAAAGAAGATAACTAAGACGATTAATGGGCGTTAGTCACCCTGAGCTCATCCGCTTCTGTTGACCCCAACTAATGCTTCGTGGGGGTGGGATTTCAGCCTGGCATCTTCTCTACCCAGCTGCGCTTTCGCTCTTATCTCAGGCAACAAAAATCGATAATACATCCGGTTTCTGCATACTAACAAACTGCTTTATGACCATCTAGCTCACGATTGGATCCCGCATTGGATTTTTGGCTCAAATAACACCCATTCATGGTAAATCGAGGGTTAGCGGTCTAGCCAAACTCGACTCTCGATGCGCGGGGCCGAGAGCTCATCCCATGCCATTCTACCAATGGCTTCGACTTTTCAATGTCTCGTTTTGTATGATTTCAACCCAGTATCCGTCTGGGTCAAGCACAAAGGCGACGTTTTTCATGCGTCCGTCTGTCAGACGCTTTTTCCAGCTCACATTTTGCGCCTCCAAACGAGCACAGGCAGCATCTATATCATCCACTGACACGCCTGCGGGGTGGGGGGTTTGGTTGTTAGTTTATTTGTCTGGCAAAGGTGAAAGATTTTCCATTCCATTATTCTCTTTCTGCTGTTCTTCCTATTTGTTTCCGAAAAAGGAGACAGACCAAAAGGTTTAAAAACACGTACAGATATGTCCGAAGCCCTGCGGCTCCGAGTTACCATCATGATAAACCTTCCCTTCCTGCTTCTCTGTTCCGTTATTCCAGGCCAATTTCACTACTCCCTCCCACTCCGCAATTGGATTGGCAGCCCCTTCTTTGAACGGCGGATTGGATGTGGGGTAGGCGAGAAAGAAGAATTTTTCGTCCCCACTCTCACGCTCGACTATGCGAACAAGAGTCATTCCTAAAATTTCCTGGTAAAATTTCAAGCTTGTTTTGGAGTCCTTGACTCTAAGCATAGTACTGTTCAGGCGATAGGTCGATGGATCGGACCGTGCAACGGCTGCATCCGTTTCTTGTTTGCGGATGATAGCTACCCAGTATCCGTCTGGATCTTCCACAATGGCCTGGTTCTGCATGGATCCCAGTGTAAGCTTCTGCTGGAACTCATATCCGGCATCTTCGAGACGTTTGCATGCGAGCTCGAGATTATCGACAGAGATCGTGAAATGACCAAATCCGAGGTGGGGTTCTGTGTTGCCATTGGTGACCGCATAAGAAGGATCATTCTCCGTCCCGTAGTTGTGAGTAAGCTCAATGACGCCGTTCCTGTCAGACCAGTGACGAGAGCCAGAGAGTGACTGTTGGCCGTCGTATGCAAGGAAGAAGAGTGAGAATTTGCTCTCGGGAAACTCAATTTTATTGATCAGGGAGAGGCCAAGGAATTTGTAAAATTCAACTAGTCACGAATTGTGTTGGATGTGTGAACTCGAATCTATCACAAGAGGACGACGTGGATTTTATTGACTGCAGTTACCTGATTTCTTTGGGTCTTTCACCCGAATCATAGTATCTAAATGGGATAAAGGATCAGTGGCTGAGCGATGTCGAGGGAGCAGCAGCTCCAGCAGCAATATCGTGATAATGGAGGCACAGCATACGATTCAATTTGTACTTGGAGGTGTCTGAAGACATTCTCACAGCAGCAGTGCTATGTGGATAGAAAGGTTTCCTAGTAATGCGCGCGGGTGTCAGCGCCCGAAAATGACATCATGGAGGATACTACTACATCTGTAGTAATACACTACAATAAATACTAACTTACTACTTGTTCTAACCGAGCTGGGCTCCTTATGAAGCAGAGCAGGTAGACGAACGCGAATGCACGGTTGGCCTGTGGAAAGACTATCTTATAAACGCAGAATTGATGATTATCACTGGACAAGGAATGGGGGAAGCAGATGTTTTCCGGTGAGGGGCTTGGTCGGGAAACAAGCGGGAAGTTTACACAAGCAGAGAAGCATAGTTAGTTAGTTACTAGTTAATAGTTGCTACTAGCATCAACTAATCACTGAGTTAAATGGCTAATTTGAACCCTAACTAGTTACGTGGTCACCCGCGATATTTTGTCTGTCAATTCCTACGAAATACTCGTACCCTGTAGTTACTCCGAAGAGGGTGATTCATATTCCGAGAGATTCTGGGCAAGGAGGGTGTTGTTGGTATGCACTATACATGTCCAATTAATTGCCTTATCGAAATTGGGTGGTCAATCGCAAAAGAAAATATATTTAGTTCGTAAGTTCACATATTTAAATGCTTCTCCCTCCGAACCGATGGTGAACAACTTTTCTCCGCAAGAGCCGCAACAACAGCAACAACAAGAACGCCACAGGAACAATAACATCATGCTGTACTAGTATACACGCTCCTCCTAAGGATTAGATATAAAGAAATACCGCCAAGGGGAGCCAAAACATCTCTCCAGCTTCTGCTTACGCTTTCTCATCCCTTGGTTTCCGTTTGAGTTAATTGAAGGCACATCGCCTCTCCATAATTTTTTCAAGATCACATTATATCTCCATCGCCAACCGCAACCACAAAATGAGCCTTCTCTCCATAAGAATTGCTCCTTCTGCCGCTTCAAGGGCTCTCAACCTCCTCCGGGCTGTGCAATTTACAAATCCTCCAGCCTGTCCCTGTCACTCCAACCCTACTCATCACCATCACAATCGCCATGGATCGCCCCTATCTAGGTATGCCCGTAATCTTGCAACCCCTATCGATCCCTCTTACCAGAAGGAATACGCCTTTGAAATGGCCGCCTCTAGTATCAGATTTGGGCCAGGCTCCACTAAGGAGGTCGGTATGGACTTCAAAAACTTGGGCGCTAAACGTGTTTGTGTGGTGACGGATTCAAATGTCGCCAAGCTTGATGCTATGAAGCATTCAATTGTGGCCTTGACGGAAGAAGATGTGGAGTTTACCATATACGACAAGGTCCGCGTTGAGCCAAAGGATTATTCGTCAGTTTCCCCTGTCTTCCCCCTCCCATTCCGTTGTCCCTTTGGCAGTAGTAGAATAGTGTTGCTGATGAGTTGTCGGAAACAGAATCAAAAATGCTATCGCCTTTGCGAAGCTATACAATGCCGATGCTTTTCTTGCTGTGGGTATGTTTCAAGTGAAAAAAAAACAGGCAAACAATTGTTGGTGTTTGCTAGTAACTTAACGTTGTGTAGGTGGCGGGTCCGTTATCGACACCGCCAAACTCATGAATCTGTACTGCGTTTACCCGGAGGCCGATTTCCTGGACTTCGTAAATGTCCCTCTTGGAAAAGGCTTGCCAATTACCAGAACACTCAAGCCTCTAATTGCCGTGCCCACCACTGCTGGTACCGGCGCTGAGACCACAGGTACCGCCATTTTCGACCTAGTTTCCAAGAAAGCAAAGACAGGCGTGGCACACAGAAACATGAAGCCCACGCTGGGCATATGCGACCCTCTCAACACACGAACCATGCCTTCGCAAGTTCGTGCCTCGACCGGCCTGGACGTCCTCTGCCATTCCCTTGAATCATGGACCGCGATCCCCTACAGCGAAAGAACGCCGAGACCCACCAACCCAATTCACCGCCCCGCCTACCAAGGCGCAAACCCCATCTCAGACATCTTCTCCCTGCAGGCGCTGCGCAGTACGGTCAAGTATCTCCCTCGCGCCGTTAAGGACCCAGATGACACTGAAGCCCAAAGCCAAATGCTTCTCGCTGCAACGTTGGCAGGTGTGGGCTTTGGGAATGCCGGCGTCCATCTTTGTCACGGGATGAGCTACCCTATTTCCGGACAGAATCCGGGCTACAAGCATCCGGGATATGTCGTGGACCATGACATAATCCCCCATGGCGTGTCTGTCGCGGTTACCGCACCAGCTGTTTTCAAATTCACGGCAGCTAGCAATCCAGACCGCCATTTAGCTGCGGCGGAAGCGTTTGGGGTGGACATCTCAAACGTGAAAAGAGAGAGCGCAGGCGAAGTGTTGGGTGAAGCGGTCGCTGAGTTCCTCATCGGGCTGGGAGATCAACCGCGCGGCTTAAAGCAGCTTGGATTCAGTTCTAGCAGTATGGACGGTCTGATTGAGGGTACCATTCCACAACAGCGTGTGTTGAACCTGGCCCCGAACCTGAGCAAAGAGCTGGAGACGGAGAAGGAGGAGCTGAGGAAACTTTTCGAAGAATCGATGGAGTTTTGAATAATGTAATAAGCAAGCTGCTGTCTGCGTTATCTACTCTATATTATTCTCATTTTTGACCCCGTTTTTTCCTCCCCTTTTATTTCTGGCAGACCATTGGGCTGCAAACTGCATGTATATTGCATGTATATTGTATATAGTACAACGGTTGCGAGTTAGCAATAACGACAAAATTAGTTTCGGGAGTCTATCCAAATACATAGTTACAAATATCCTCTGCCTGTCTATGCGCCGAGGCACCGGGTCACCGGGAAACCGTCGAGGCGTCCCAAGTAAGTTCAATTCACCTCCGCGTGATGATATCAACGCGTCCAATAGCAGCTTCAAGTCATTCGTTGTAACTTGTGGCCTAAACCCATCCTCAATTCCTTTCGATCTTTCTGTGCCTTTGTTTTTTTGAAACGGTTTGTCCCATTTCTAGATGAGCTCCCAACATTTCCCCCAGACCATTATTTCCTTAGCGCCACGACGAATAATCATATCCTCCGTATTTCGCCATCCGTCCCAATGACTTCAAGACCTGGTAATGTGTTCCGTGTTGGTAGTGGTCCGAAGGCACTGGGGCTCGTACGGTATGTGTTGGAAAGCCCAATATCTTTGCATTTAATTCACCAAGTCAAATGTTGAAACAACTTACATTCTTTCCATTTATTTCTGACGCAATACCAAAACATTTTCCGATCAAACCAAGACCTCCGACTTTCGAGTATGGCATTGGCTTTAGATGCACTCACCGTTCCCCCAGCTGCTTTATGATGCTCTCCAACTGCTTGTGTAGGGAGGCGATCCATTTACCTAGTTGGCCCCTTGCCATTAGGTTCCAGGTCGGATGTCATTATTTGAACTCAAATCATTGCCAATTGGGATAGCCGTTTGATGACCCATGTTGATCGTTCCTGTGATCATTGATATCGTTATACTGCATTGTGAGTATGTTCCGAGGCTAGCTTTCGTCTCCTCTAGCTATTAGAAATGGGGACCTAGCATCTCATCGGTAAACGAAGGGCACGCTCCGCACGTAGCCAGCTAATCTACAATAATTCTGTGTCATTCTACATGGAAAGAAGATATTATTGACATGGTTTAGGGTCTACCTCACGTTCAACGTTTGTGAAGCCGAATCGATGAACTGGATTCTATTATTCAAACTCTCACAAAAGCCCTCCAGACATCCTAGGCTGCGGGATTCACCTGCTCCCAGAAGGATTTATAATATTGCCGGGCACGCCAGGGCCGGATGGAAAGGCGCATACGAAGATTATGGACACATTTGTTAGGTCATAATAATGATCATTTTCATTGTAACTTAGCCCCTGATAGGCGATGTCAGGCATGGCGGACCACATTCATACCGATATCGGATCATTAGTGGGAAGGAGATGGCATCTACTACTTCTTTTTTTCTTTTTCTTCTTGAGCTTACCCTCATTTTGTTTGATACCAAGTATCTCACTCAAGATATCTTCCTTGAGATGGCCGTGAAGAAGGTCTATATACAGTACAACGGGCCAAGATGGCGATCTCGAGGTCCAGGACACTACAGTCTCTGCTCTAACCTGAGAGGCGGCGAGTAATCAGATCATATCGACCTCCCAACTCCTCCCCAGGATTTTGTTTGGATGACCCTAGCCGTTGTTCTTCGATCTATGCATTGTTTATGGAGTCCCTTCTAGTGATCAAAACTTGGCAAGCACATTTGATTTCGAAGGGTCCGAAGATTCGACAAATAACTTTCATCCTGTTTATCAAGGGTACAAAAAAAGGCAGCACACCCAGCTAGCCCCCCGCCATGCCCAATAAGAACGCGCACCGTGCCTGGGGTTCTCCTTAGGTGGTGAGGTGATTGGGTGCCTGGAGACGGAATAATGAATAATGCATGCAATGTGGCGCTGAATTGTCCCCACGTCTTTTGTCAGATTTTACGCAACAGATTTATGGAGCTTCAGGCGTTGATAAGGAATGAGGTCGGGGGGATGAGGGGCAGGAAAGACATGCAGGTAAGTTCGATATGCGGACCATATCTATTTTCTTCCTCCCTTTCTTTTTCTTCACTTCTCTCATATCCTCTTGTGGTCACTACTGTTATCCTTGTCAAAAATAATTAACTAACTACGTTTTGAGATTCCTGTATCGCTGTATCTTAGCATACTTCAGTATCCCCAACCATTCTACCTTCCGGTTGACGGTCATACAAGTATACAAAACGATCGTACTTTGCTCCACCATAACTTCCCAGGGTAGTTAGTCGACCCTGCTTAGTTTTATCTAATTCATTCCTCTATCCGTTTTCCCTCATGCTTCAGCTCTCAGGTGATGCCGTCCGACCAAGCGTCCTCGTCCCGGAGAAGTTGTCCCCTGATGGCCTGGCACTGCTCAAATCTACCCTGGATGTGCACGAGAAGAGAAACCTTAGCCCAGACGAATTGTTGAAAATAATCCCTGATTACCAAGCGTTGCTTGTCCGTTCGGAGACGAAAGTCACTGCGGAAGTGTTGCAGGCGGGCAAGAATCTGAAGGTTGTCGGTAGAGCAGGAGTTGGGGTTGATAACGTTGGTGAGACTTCCTTTCCGTTTTTAAGCAACTATTTCATTTACGTCTCTAAATCAATTTCCTTGTTGATCTCTTGTATTTTTTGCTCTTTTGAGTACACGGACGTGATACCCGTGTCTACGGTATCTCCAATGCAAATGGCCCTATATCATTGGGCTTTAAAGCATAACTCTGACAGCACTCTTGTTTTCCGGTAGACGTCACTGCTGCAACAAAGCTTGGGATTGTGGTTATAAACTCCCCATCTGGAAATGTTGGAGCAGCTGCCGAACATACGATAGCATTGATGCTGTCGATGGCTAGAAATATACCTGATGGTTGTTCCAGCCTGAAAAACGGGAAATGGGAAAGGAGTAGATTAGTGGGTGTTGAAATCAAAGGGAAAACTCTAGGAATTATCGGCCTAGGAAAAGGTACGTGTTGCATTCTTCTAAGCTTCAATCCTGAATACGAATCTTCCGAGAGCACTTCCTCATACAGCGTTTTTGTGTAGTTGGCTTGATAGTTGCGCGACTTGCCAAAGGCCTGGGTATGAAGGTGAATGCCGTGGACCCCTATGCTTCTGCTGCAGTTGCAGAATCTGCGTCTGTGAGCCTTCTGCCATCCCTTGCAACACTGTTGCCGACAGTAGATTTCCTTACAATTCATACCCCTTTGATCGCATCGACAAAGGGCATGATATCATCTGCAGAGCTTTCGCAGATGAAGCGAGGTGCTCGTGTACTAAATGTCGCTCGTGGCGGGACATTTGACGAAGCTGCGCTTCTCGAGGCCCTAGAATCAAATCATTTGGCTGGAGCGGCAATTGACGTTTTTACATCTGAACCTCCTGCTGCTGATTCTAGCGCTTCAAGGCTCATCGCCCATCCACGAGTTGTGGCGACTCCACATCTCGGTGCCTCTACAGTTGAAGCACAGGAGAATGTTTCCATGGATGTCTGCGAACAAGTTCTCCAGATATTAAAGGGTGCCCTGCCTCGAAGTGCTGTGAATGCTCCTTTGATTTTGCCTGAAGAATACAAGAAGCTCCAGCCATTCGTACATCTCGTGGAGAAAATGGGGAATTTATATACACAGCACTTCACATCGACTGCCACGTCCACCGCAAATAGCAGCACGTTTGACCTAATCTACGAAGGAGAGATTGCGATGGCCAATAATACAAAACCTCTTTTTGCCGCTTTGATTAAGGGACTCATTGCTCCCATTAGCAGCACCGCAGGAATCAACGTAAATATCGTTAACGCCGAGCTCATTGCGAGGGAACGTGGCCTTGTTGTCAACGAACGGTTTTCCCGTGATCCAACCTCGCATTCTTACTCTTCTCTCATCACACTGGTGGCTCACCCACCTTCTCGTGCGTCCTCCCGCCCTCCTCCTCGTGTCGCAAGTTCTGTTCCTGAAGTACAAGCCGCCCACGAACAACAACAAATCATATCTGGGACATGCTCACAGTCTCAGCCATTAATATCTCGTCTCGGCCGATTTGCTACATCCTTCGTTCCGGAAGGTACCCTACTTATTTGCCATAACTATGATTCTCCTGGAAAAATTGGGGTTGTCGGAAGTATCTTGGGGAGGGAAGGAGTTAATATCAACTTTATGGGAGTAGCTCCTGTCTCAAAGGGCCTTGTGGAAGGCGAGAAAGCTGTAGCTAGCAGTGAGACTAATGCACATCCTGACTCAAGGGATAAGGTTGTGCCTGAGAAAGAGGCATTGATGATCCTTGGGGTTGACAGGGCCGTGGAGGATAGTGTAGCCAAGGCTCTGGTAGAAGAAGGGGGTGTATTAAGTGCTAGTGTCATTTCCCTTTGAAAAGTTGTATGGGTTGCCGGTTTCCTTTTTTTAACGAATGGCTGCCTTTTTGTTATTTCAATGCAAACGATATTGGTTCTCTACATTCTTAACATCTAAATGATTTAGCAATTTCCCTGTGAAGCCTCCACATTGTTTATTCAGACTTGGAATTTAAGTGGTTCCATTTGTCAATGGGTTTGTCTCGTGAGATCGAGGATTCATTGTCGAGAGCTAGATGTCAAACACTCACACCAAATGTCCCGTCCCTAGCCTACTGTTTGAGCTGTATACACGGACTTAAAGTAGTGGGGTAGTCTACCATATCAACGAAACCATTTAATTTCCAAAAGCTGCACTTCGATACATTGTGCGCTGCCATCTCCAAGCTGGTGGTATCTGGTGGATTTGGGCATCTGCATGTCGTACTTTGATCTCACCCAGTCATAACTGATGCAGAAATTTTGGCTCAAAGAACACATTTGAGGAATGCTCCGGGGGGTGGTGGTGTGGTTGCGGGACAACAAAAAGGATAACTCACGCATGCAGAGTCAGGTAATATACCAAGATCAGGATAGCACACGTGAAATGTGAGGGAGAAAGTGGCCTGCTCGATCTTGCGGAACATGAATAAAATGAACTTCCATCAAAGGGACCGAAAATCTGGATTTGGAATTGTATGGGTCTATAGCCGTCCGCTTTCTGTTAGAAAAAGAGCAAATGAATATTCGAATACTATATTAGACAGAGATGCCTTGTTCAGGCTCGCAAGACTTTATCTTGTGCATATCATCGCTGTGTATTCAAACTTTGGAAAGTCGGAAGGCTTCCTGAGGGATTATAAGAATATAATGTTGTAAAATTCATTACGTAAGCTTATATATGGGGGTACATACATAGAGGGCAGTAAGTTGCATAAAGTCAATTAACCGCCGATCAAGCAACAAATTATGGAATATCAAGAGCCTGATGGCCATATAGATCCCATCATAAGCAATTTCAACTTTGGAATTGTAAGCAATTCGCTGCGAATATACATGCTGCCCTTGGGTATGGATCATTTGCTTGACAAATAGCATTATTTCCAACATCTCATCGCAAAGGGCTACCCCCAAAAATGTCGGGTCTTTTGCTGGTGCTCCCTGCAAAACTGCCATTGCTAGGAGTAAGGGCGGTTGATCTCCTGAAAGATTGCCGTGGTGTAGACGGTGTACTACCACTCACGCTTCCCCCCGAGCTAACCGTTCCAGATCCGACCATTGATCTATCAGGCGTGTTGCGACCACTGGCAGGAAGTCGGGTTATAGCAGCGCCCACGGCGGTTGTAAGGGGATTAGAATTAGAAGAATTCCGGGAAGGGGGTTTAAACCCTAGTTTAAACCCTTCACGAAAAATCTCTTCGAGGATTTGCGATACGATGCCCGCCTCTTCATATTCTTGGAATTTTTTCCAGAGCCGGAGAGCCATGAGAGCATCTTCAATGGAGTCATGCCCTTCAGAACTAGTTGTATTCGCCACTGTGCTGGCAGTGGCAGCTTGACCAGATTCCGAGGGCGTAGCGGAAGTGGTTAAGATGGTGGTCTCCTGGATGTACTCCTTGAAAACGGCCCATGCAAGGTACCGTAAACTAAGACGGCGGTTTTTTGAAGGGTGGAAAAAGAGGTACTGTGTATCCACAGTCTGCTCTTTGGGAACTTGGATATTGATTTTACGGAAATCGGAAGCCAGGCCATGTCCAACGAAAATGCAGCCCAGATTAAGCAGAAGCCATAACTTCTTGTACGCAACCTTCAAAGGCACAAGGTTATGAGAGCTTGTCCGTGGGTCTAAATCACCAGGCTTGATACCCGAATACTGTGTGACATAATCGACAATCGGGTCTTTTATGGTAATGTAATCATCGATAAAGGGGACACCTTCAGCAGTGCCAGAGCCGCGGATGACAGAAACACGTGCAAGTCCGCTTTTACTTGGACGAACAATTTCTTGGGTTCCATCTGCTTTGACTTCAATTTCGGCTTTCTCTAAATCCACAAATTCGGTATCCAAGGCAACTGGGGTTCGCGCCGAAGGTTTCTCATCTGATTGTAGCACTTTGCAGGATTCAGTCGGACGATAGTTGCTGTCGACAAGTTAGAGAGAAGTAATAGGAAAAGCGACAAAGAAGATACATGGGAGAGAAATACGCAAGGAGAGAACACAAAATTAATCAAGGTAACGCACTTCATAGACCACTCATAGAACAGAAGGGTAGTATCAAGTTCGCTTTTCCAAGAATCATCCACACCATGCCGGGAACTCTGCACTTGGTACGCTAAAGTACAAGGCGACTTCCAAGATTGATTGAATGAAAACACCTCATCTCGATTTAATTCTGTCACCAAAAAATCGTTAAAAAGATGCCATCCGTCCTTTTCATTTAGATTACGCGAGGATATTGCGACGTTTATGAAAGAAACTAAGTGTGGCTTGTGATGTTCTGGCATATCAATCTCCACCACGAGTCCTACCAGTTCGTATACTATAAGGCCTGGAATTCCATTCCGTTTACATGCTTCAAGCTCCTCGCCTTCGAAGCATTGGATGCGGCCATTTTCAAGGAGGAACCCCACCTCCTCGGGGAGCCACCCAGGTGTGCTCCACAATTGTCGCGTGCTCGGATTGTTTATGGCCGCATTGATCATCAACACCAGGGGCATCCTATGAACTGTCTTTCGGATCGAAACCTGTTGATAACGGCGACAATGGCTGCACCAACCTCGGTTTTGTGTTTCACGTTCAATGCTGGACTTGAGGATATCTGAAAATCGATAGGAATTATTGTGTCGTGTTTGTTTGGGATCGACCACTGGGTAGTGTAGCTCATTGACGAATGAATTTCCGGCGCGTACGGTCTCGTTGTGGCAAAGCATGCAACGGATTGATTCAACCGCATCAGTTGAAAGGGTACGGTCTAATTGGTCAGAATGAGGCAACATCAATCGAAAATCGTGGGATATTTGATGCAGGAAAAAGCGATTGACCGACTGAATGGTCGACGAGAGAGACTTTGTAGTCAAGTTCTCTTCGAGGAGACCAAGATTGGTAGCTTCTCGGAAACCGCTAAAAGTCCTTAATAGATTTGTTGCCTGACAGTTTTGTCCGTTTGCTTTGTCAAGCATGTCAAAGAGAAAACCCATTTCACACAGGAGACAGTTGTCGTATATACAGCTCGTTGCCACGTGGTGCAGGGCTAGATTCTTAATCAACGGAACAAATTTAAACAGTTGAAGAAGAGAGTTTGCGAAGCAGTTGGCAATGTGCGTCTCCAATCCTGAGAATACAGTTTTATTGTAATACCTAGATAGGAACTTAGCATCGATGCAAAACCGAGTTTTTGAAAATATAACCGACCTAAAATCAAAGTCATCCACTCCGAATTTGCTATACTTGATTTCGACATTACCATATTTTAAAAGTGGATCTTCACCTGCCTCTTTATTAATAGTTGTATTCGCTAAAGTTTCGGCCGTATCACTTATGGTGCTGTCAAATTTGGCCTTTGCTTGAGCCCTTGCTCGCTCGCTTAAAAATTTAGGAGCAGCTAAAGTTGGCTCTGCCGTTGGCTGCGCGCGTGTGTTTTCAACTTGATATCTCCGAGTCTTTCGTGGGTTGGGGCCATAGTGTCCTATTTCCCCAGCATGAAGGTATGGAATGATGGCCTGATCGACTTGTGGAGGAATGCTTCCGATTTCGAAAATCAAGTGACTTGGCCAGGCAGAGAGCAACCGTTCATGGTAGTATGGAATTCCAATCACGTTCAAGGGGGTATCATTCGACCAATCCACTAAAGGGGGGCGTGAAGGAACGTCTGCAAATTCGGTTTCCTTGCTCATTTCGTTGAAATGGATCTTGGACGGGGAACCCCAGAGATGGATGAGGCACTCAGCATCATTGACAGCGAGAGCCTCACCTGATGGTGATATCTCAAGGCCGAGCATAAACGTGACATTTGCTTGTCGCAGGTTAATAGCATTGGGATTCATTAGATCAACTACTTGGAGCTGCCCTGTTTGAGAAGCTACGAAGCTAGTGGTTTGTAGCTTTGGATGCATTCGGACATAGGCAGCACCAGCGTGAAAAGGGATAGGGGGCAAAGGAGTCAAAGTTTTCAAATCATAAACGTTCGCCAAAGGGTCGACAATCGGCGAGCCTAGATGCCGCACCGAAAAGCCGCAGGTAACGAGGTAGTCGTTCTGCGCATCCATATCACTAACAACCGTACCATGTGCCTTCCAACTCTTCACAACACTAAAATCGGATAGGCTCAGGGCATTGACAGAGCCAGTATCAGTCGCAGCACACAAGTAGTGGCTCTTTTTCATAATCGTGTAATTGTATTCCGTGGTTAACTTCTCGACAATGGTTCCTTTGTCAATGTCAATGTGAAACATTGCAGGCTGGCAACCAGCAACAAGAATCTTCGAAGCCTGCTGAGTGAAGCTCATGCAGCGGAGATCTTCCATCTCTTCATGGGAGAGATGCCATAGCGTCAGGCCACGCCGGGATATAAGATGAACGCTTTTAGAGGTCACTGATAATACCCCTTTCTCATGGAATAGAAGCTGGCGCACCGGTCCCTCAGAAGCGGGGTGTGCTTTCACAGACGTGTACCTTTGCAGCTCTGGTCCGTAGAAGGAGGTGACTCGCCCCTATAACAGCCAGGATCGAATAAGAATTAGTCAATTATTCATTTAACTGGTGCGCTTCTGCGAAGCCTGATGTCTGAGATAGAAGCTCAAGGTGGTAGTCTCACAAATTCATTGCCTGTCCACAGAAGCTCTTGGGTGTCATCAAACGCCATCGTCGACGCGACAGTTGGTAAGACGTGGGGTCCTGAAGGAGGAACAGCTACCCGGGATATCTCATCCCAATCTGGATCCATTGTGATACCACAGTCGCCTGGATTGTAGATGAAGCTAATATATTCTCCAACCAAGCACAGGATATGTCTCGCAGTTGGGAGGAATTGGCGACGTTGTTCCGATTATGCTACCGGTACGGAAAGGGCCACGGCGGGAGAATCATCTTGGAGCATGATTCCGGCAGTATATAGGGGAGGTCGAAGTGGTCGTGGTCGTCGCTCAGGAAGGTGAGTATGTGGGTGTGCGGGGCAAGGGGAGAATGGCGCAGAAAATGAGTGTTCTGGTAAATGAAGCAGATTCCAAGCGTTCAAACTTGTATGTTAGATAGTCATTAAGTGTCTTGCGAAGACATCAGTTTGCGATCGGATACCTCGTTTGTGGCCCGTGCGCATCTGACCTGCACAAGCACTCACAGTAGTACAGAGTACAGCTGATAATTTATCAGGTATTCAAAAATATATATATATATAACATTTTAAATGAAGCAAAAGACCAATTGGAAATCAATAAAAATTGAAGATTTTATTATCACTATTATTTTTGTTATCACCATCTACAACACTACCTAGCAGTAGACTGGCCGCCGGGACCATGAATTACACATTTGGTTTGGTTTGGTTTGGTCTCAGTCCATTTCTTGGCATGATTTTAGTGGGACCAGGACCAGAATGGGAGTGTAAAGTGACTAGAATTATCAAAACATGAGTGAAATGGGACTAAAAAATCTTGATATTCCATGTAAAGTGACTGACTATCAAAATCAGAACATGATCTGGGACTGATCATGATTTTGACTCAAGTTTGGTCCCATTCTGATGATTATATAATACATCAATCTGATGATATGATTGGTGGAGATATTACCTCTATCTTGCTTAGTGCTGCTGCCAACCTACCCACCGCTGCCAATCTACCCACCGCCGCCAACCTACCTACCGCTGCCAATCTACCTACCGCTGCCAACCTATCTATCACTGCTAATCTATCACTGCTAATCTATCACTGCTAATCTATCACTGCTAATCTATCGCCGCCAACCTACCTACCACTGCCAACCTACCTACCGCTGCCAACCTATCTATCGCTGCCAACCTATATAGGGTAAATCATGGTCCCATTTGGTCCCATTTTGTAAAATGGGACCAAATGGGACCAGAATCACTAATTTATTAGTAAAACATGATCTGGGACTAGATTTATAATATAAACAGTGTAAAGTGACTAATTTGCTAAACACTATATGGGACCAGGACTAAGATATCTAATAATGGGACTGAGGAAAAATTTGGTCCCAGTCCCATGCATGGTCACACGGCCAGTCTACCTAGCAGTAAGCATACACCGCATGGCGAGCGTCGGCTTCCTATTGCGGACTAGTGCACATTCCTCGGCTACAAAGCATCAACTACAACAAAACGACCAAAATAAAAATATTTTACTAAATTGTAAAAAGAAATTAAATTTAATGTATATTGAAAATATGAGTTAAAAGGTTTTTGACACCCGCTCTATTGTTTTCTGGTATATAAACCTATATACATATTAGTATTCAAAACATGTCAGCCAATGATCAACAGGAGGTTTCATCGCATCTCCCTCCATTGGTTAGTACCGCCTTCAAGATCATGTCCTTAGCTACATTCAAACTAGTCCGTGGGCCCTTGATCTGAATAGCCTCGCCTCGAGCCTGGTTCTTTGGTACGTTGATCCTACAGTTCGTTTGTTTGCGAATCTCGTTGATCGTGCTGCCACCAGGTCCTATAACGAATCGATAATTTTTCGGGTCTGGGAGAATCAGATATCCGGTGGCAAAATTCTGCGAGGCCGTCTGGAGAGAAATTTCAACAATTGATTTCGCTTTGGCGACATTCTCTGGTGTGCCTGAGAAGACCCAAGGAATTCCCTTTGCCGAAGGTAAATCAGCTGATTCGGTCGGGTTCAGATCCACCATCTTCCAGGAATGCGTGGCAGGGTTGGTGGAAGCGCCATCAGTTATCAGGGGAAGAGGAGAGTCCTGGCCGTTGATTTGATTGCGGATGTCTGATGGGTCAGGACGTGGTGGGATGTGGTGTCCAGCATGATCAACGCTGACTTGATATCCCTTTCGAAGTCGGCGGAACAAGGCACCGTTTTCAGCAATGATATGATGCAAACTTGCTGGAACCAAAATGCTATCAGCATGCTGCTCTTCGACGAGAGATTGAATGTAGGCTTTTGCCTCCTGGACTGCACCGCTTGAGCCTCTAATGTTAATGTCGGTGCGCCCAGACTCATGTTTTGGAATATCAAGAACTATCTTGAACTGGCTCTCTATATTCCGTCGAGCCTCTCCACCCCGGCCAATTAAAAATCGATGTTGCGCCTGGGGTATGTCAATAGATGCTATTATCTGGTCGTCCTTCTCTCGGACAAAGTCTTCGATTGCCGCAATGATTCTTTGTACAACCACAGAATTTCCTTCTAGCCGAATAATAGAATCAGGGCTCGCTGGGGAGGGAAATTTCACCATTCTGGCTGCACTCCCATCGCTCGGCCCACCAGCATCACTTATAATCTTGCGAATAGTGGCTCCTACTACAAGTTAACTAACAACATCAGTAAAGGTAATATATAGTTGGGCACTAACCACCACCACCGATCAGCACCTTGTGGTGCTTCTTATCCACATCGATGGTTTTGACAACGGTTGAATCGAACTCCTGGACTCTCTGGAGCAATAATTTCTTGGCGTCCGCAACTTGTTTTGTTGTCCCTTTCAGTTTAATAGTCACCCTTCCAACGGCATCAGGAGTGTCATTCGCGCTAGGCACATCAATCTGGGCACCGGTATCTGCTCGAAGTCTATCCATTTCGCGACCTTTTTGGCCGATTAACATAGGAATTTGGTTCTGCGCGACAGACACAAAATCCGAATGTGAGTGGTCCATGACCCACTGGTAGAGGCTAAGAATTTCTCCTCGAGCTTCATCCGCACCTTTACGAGGACCTCGGATGATAACTTCGTCAGGGGCCTGGGCAGGACGAATGCTTCGGTTGTGCCCATGTTGACTTGCAGTTTCGACTAGGGATTGGTCGTCGGCGGAAAGAAGGCGGGCGACTCGAGGAAACTGAATTCGAACATTATACCGGTCCTCCAGACGGTTGACTTGGCTGCCCTTTTGTCCAATCAAATCGCGATGATACTGTTGGGGGATTTTCAACACATATGTAGTCTCATCATCTAACTTTTTGCCCAGGGCAGTAATCCGGGCTCGGCAATTATTTGCTTTGACTTTCGGACCCCTGATCTCCACTATACCGTTTTCCACCTTGATGTCAACGTCAAATTCCTCTCGGAGATTGTTGATATTTTCGCCTCTTTTACCGATCAAGATATTCGAATACTTTTGTGGGAACTCAAAAGAGAGTGTGTAGCCCCTCTCCAAATCGTCCTTTTGTTGTTCCAGAACGAAGATCTCAATTTCAGATGAGAGTTCTTCAACCTCGCAAGCACGGCCACGGAGCTGTATCTGCTCTCTAGTTACACTTACGGCGATAGGGATATGTTCCTCTCCCTTCGCTTGTTGTCGCTTGTCGATGAATTTTCGGAGTTTATCATGATACCTAATTGAGATATGTGCTAAGCCTATATGTCGAATAGGGGATTGGGCTAGGGTAATGGGGGAGAAATATGCGAGTAACATGCAAGGGAAAAATACCTTAACGGAACTGCGACTAATTTGTTGCAAATGTCGTGATGATTACCCAAAGACGCAAAAAGATATTTTTTTGCCTCAGTCAATGCATTTTCAAACACGGAAAGCTCACTTGTCGGTGGGCGAATTCTTGGTAGTTCGTTTTCCCCCGCGACCCACACGTGTCCCTCATATACGAGTACAACGGTTGAACTATCCGGGTCTTCTGGCAGAACTAAATGCACACCAAACCTGTCCTTCAGTTGGGGACCAACACGAGAGCGAAGATGGGAATGAAAATAGGGATCAATGAGCAATGGTGCAACTTTAGAGGGCGGATGAGCCTGTATTAGGTTGATAATATCGGATCGTGCGCGGATGGTGTTCTTTCCATCTCTTGAGTACACTTCCCAAGTAACAGGGCCATCTGACGCGGGAGGCAAAACAATATGTGCATCATATTGCCTCTCGAGCTTCTTAATAGCTTGTCGTTGCATTAGGTAGGAAGTTAGAGCTCGGGCGTGTACATGGGGACCAGAAGGCGCTGCAGGGTGCTGCCTGGATATATCAATACTGGCCATTTGCATGCTCGTGGCCAGGTCCATGACACGATTAATTCCGAATTCGATTTGCACGGGAGGCCCTATGATAGTCAAAAATTCTGTATCATCGTTTGCGGGTGGCAGCACGATCGAGCAGCCGGTCTGAGCTAAGAAATCATGCAATGAACTATTCATATTGCCCAAAACAAACTGATGCTGTCCTCGATTGATGGCCAGCTGTCGAACTGTGATTTGTCGATGTAATTCCTCAGCAATCCTCTCAATCTCGGCGCGGGCGTCTTGTGCAGCACTTCGTTCACCAGAAATTTGAATGTGCTTGTCAGGATCAGGGGAAAATTTGACTTGGCCAGCAGCGGCCTCAGATGGAGGAGGTCGCGACCACGTATCATAGTGTGGGATTTTGATCTGTGCTTTCGTGCGCTCTTCAAGCTGGTTCAAATGTACGTTGTGGGCACCAGCAATGAAAGGGAAAAGTTCAGGAGAAATATTTCTAAGCCGTAAGGTGATATTCAACGACCTTTCCTTTAAAATTGACTCTATCTCTCTTCTCGCCATCTCTGCAGCCACCGCATCACCTTCAATGCGAACATCTATAGTAACACTATCGTCGTCATCCTCAGCGAGTGATGGCTCTCCCGGCCTAGCAACATTGATTCGAGCACCAGTTCGGTCATGGATGCCCTGCACAACTGCCCCTTGCCGACCAATGATATGAGGCCTTGCGGACGCTGGAATTGGCACACACACAGATTGCTTTTTAGATAGAAATTTTTTTTAAGGTTTTTTGTGGTCAGCTTGGAGTCATAGAACATCGGATATTCAGAAATGCATACCTTGGAACCCACTTGTTGGGCAACCTCCTTGAGTGCCTGGCGCACAGCGTCCACGGATCCCTTGCCTTCGAAAATTATCGATTCCTCAGGGCCGTTGTACATGTCCACAACCGCCTTGAATCTTCTACTGGTATCCCGAAGGATATCCCTAATAGGTTTTTTCAACTGGCTCCGTGGGAGCATCTGCGAAGGAGCGAAACGAATCCGCTCGACATGTTTGCCTGGCATGGTCATGATCTTAGGAGCCCCTGACGCAGGATTCAAGGAACTGGATGTAGCCCAAACCGGGAATTGGTGTCAGCATTCGTGAAGAAGAAGTACTTGACAAATGTGATGACAGTAGTGTCCCGTTGGATGAGCTGTAGCCATAGCTAAATTTCTGGCCAGGCATTTACCCGCACCCC